AAGCTTACATTCATCAAGATGATATTTACATTATTAAAGAAAGTAAGGCAGCAAAATATCTTAAATTATACGCTAATATATGCCAAGTAGCAAAACTTCTGATGACCGGATAAAGCTGGTCATAATGGTCAGAGGGTTAATGAGTCTACATTTCCACAGCATTTAGGCCAACTGGTGATAATCTTGCCTTGCGGTGTAGATGGATATAGTGCATAAAAAGAGAAATTCACTGGAAAATGGTCAGAGCTCATTTCTTCTGCTATTTCTAAGGATGGAGTAATTTGTAACCATTTTAATAGAAATATATATAAGACTTCTATTAACGTATTTTAATTTATTCTGATGAAAGCATTTGGTACTACAATTTTTATGCTATTCTGTGCAGCAAAGTTCAGAATTCTACCATTTAGATTGAGATATCTAGAATTCCAGTCAGGATTTTCTGAGTTGAATCTCTCTGTTATTAAGATTGGCAACGGCATACAGTAAATTGTGAATATCTTGGTTTATCATAATGTGACTAGGCAGGTTATAGACCAAATTGAATAAGAATGCTTCATTTGTTTACCCATAAATTAGAGCTGCTGTAGCTTTGTAGATTTTATGTGCAGTGGAATAGAGAAGATGTACCTGGAAATCTTAAGATGATTTTAAATAACTAACACAGTACCACCTCCTCTATTATGAGTACGAAATGTGTGAATTATAGTCTTAGATCTTGAAATGATCACAACATCCTAGATGAGTCTCATAAGAAAAAGTATGCCCACATTGTGTTTTTTAATAAAGTCCTGAAATTCAATTCCCATGTAAGAAAGATGCTTTAATAAAACAATTTCCTGTCCCATTGTTGTGTGATAATGCATGATTAGACATTACAAGAGTGGTAAGTCATTTTTTTTTAAACAAATTTATGTACTTTTCATATGTAACTTTGATGGAATGAATAAGTAATTTTCCATTAATATTTCATTACTATTTTACATTTAAAATTTATAAAAATTTCTCACATTAAATCATGTTTTATGATAACCTCCATTCTGTGAATTCCACCATTTAGTAAAGTTTCATCGGATTCTGCAACTTTGTTAAATAGAAGTTTGATTGGAATTATAATTCAGCAAAGATAAATTTTATAGCAATTCATAACAAACATAAAAGCAATAATATCATATTTCAAATTAATAACAGTTGAATTACTCATAAAAGACATCAAGGATTAGTTTACCTCTAGTATTGCACACTGTTTTATCAAAATTCTCTTTTCATCATGCAATAAAAATTACACTGGTTTACAGATTCAGAAGAAATTATTCAAAAATGTATATTTAATTATTTGGTTTCAATAAAACATAGACTGTTAGACAAACTCATCAATCAAACTGAAATGAACCTTTTTTTTAGAGACAAGGATCTCTGAATCTATGGTGAGTTGAGAATTCTTCATATAGGAAGCTTTTTTTTTGGGGGGGGGAAGCTCATTCCTTGATCTTTTATCAAACAAGTATGAATCAAAATACAGAAAAATATTTAACTACAGAAATTTAAAATAACTCGCTACAAAATTTCAAACATGAAGCAAATTGGGAAATGAACAAATGTATTTTTTATTGCCATAAGCTAAATTTTTAACTGATTTTGATCATGTTTTAAATTAATATTTAAAAAGTAATATATTTTTTAAATAATTTGAAAATCAATTGTTTAAATGTTGAAACTATTCTTTCCCCTTAATTACACATAGTCTCATGAATTTTATATGCAAATGCTTTTTGCGTTTAAATGAATAAAGTAAGCCATTTTCACCTATTACTCTTCAGGATATGTTGAAATTTTTAGGGATAAACATTTTAATGGGAATTAAAAAACTCCCAAGCTATCGGGATTTCTGGTCAACAAATGAAATACTGAATGAATCTTACGTGGCAAAGCAGATGGCGGTAAAGAAATTTTCATGGATTTCAGGTAATTTGCATTTGAACGAACAACCTAATGCCAAAAAGAGAGGACAAAACTTTTGACAAACTTTATAAAGTTCAGCCTCTATTGACTCATTTGTCGTAGAGATTCAATAGTCTCTTTAGAGCAGGAAAAAATCAGGCAATTGACGAATCAATGATTCGTTTCAAAGGTAGAGAAGTTCACTAAAACAATACTTACCTAAAAAACCAATAAAACGAGGATATAAAGTATGGATGTGTTGCAATGAAAGTGGGTATGCTTGTAAATTTGAAATTTATACAGGTAAAACCCATGAAGTAGAAAAACATCTGAGTGAAAGAGTGGTAAAAATGCTGAGGCCTTGTATGGTAATAATCATAGAGTATACATGGACAATTATTTTACATCCTATGAACTTTTCAAGTTTTTAGGGAAAAAAAAATGTATTTTGTTGTGGAACTGTAAATATAAAAAGAAAAAAACCCTTCCCAAAACACTGATGGAAGATAAGAAATTAAAATGGGGTGACTTCGATTGGGCAGTAAGTGATGACAAAATAACTTGTCTAAAATGGAAAGACAAAAGATGTGTTACCATTTTATCTAACCTAGTTGATCCCATTATTCCATCTAATGCAAAAAGGAAAGAAAAAACTGGACAGAAAGTTCAGATACAATGTCCAAAGGCAATTATAGATTATAATAAAAATATAGGATATGTGGACTATTTTTGACCAACTTAAAAGCTTATATGAAATTGATAGAAAAAGTAAAAAATGGTGGCATCGAATCTTCTTTCATTTTATTGATGTCATCATTATAAATGCCTTCATTATATACCGAATGCTTCCAGAAAGTGAACCCATTTTGAAAATACTCAAGTCTTTCAGAATGAATATAATCAGTAATATGATACGAATGAGAAACGAAGGATCCATACCAAAGCGAAAAAGATCAAGCCTGCCTATCAACATAAAAAACTGTAAATTTTATTTGCCTCAACATAAAAAACTGTAAATTTTATTTGCCAGATGAAAAATGACTAAAGAACGCAGGACATATGCCAGTAAAATGCAAATCCCGGCGGTGTTCATCTTGTAGCACAAGGGAGAAACCTCATAGAATAAGATACATGTGCGAAACGTGCAGTGTTGGCTTGTGCATGTACCAAAAAGATAAAACATGCTTTGAGCAGTTTCATAAAAAATAACTTAGTTCTTTGAGATCAAAAAAACACTGAGTTTTTTTATCTTTTTATCCCAATTTCCTTATTATGTACGTTCTCATGTTTTCATTACTGCAGAAAAATTACATAAATTATAATTTTTTCTGATAATTTACTTTGTAAAATAAAGTAAAAAGTTTACATTTGATGCAATTTTAAATTCAGTTTTTTTTTTTTGTAATTCGCAAATTTTGTCATTCCATTGGAAATGCATACGGAAAAAAGTAAATTGTTTTTTCCCTACTAACTCAGAAAGTTTCAAAGTCCTAGATGCGCGCTGGTTTCACAGCGAAACCACCACCCACAGATTAATGGGCAAGAGTAGATTTTTTTTTAATTCATATATTATTTGTCTCTAGGATCATAATATTCAATTTCTAGTGTTTTTAGTTAAAAAAAATTATAAAAATAACATAGTGCACGTCAAAGGGTTAAAAAGATGAAGAAGCCATTATCAACACCTCAGTCAGTTTGAACAAGGTCGTATAATAAAACTACGAGAAGGTGGATTTTCTTTCTGCAATATTGCAGAAAAACTTGGCAGGAATGTATCCACTATCCATGATTGTTAGCAGCAGAGGTCAAGGGAAGGTACTGGCTCAAGAACAACAGGTTCTAGGCAGCCATGTGCCACAACTGAGAGGGAAGAATGCTGTGTTTGGGGCACATCATACTGCCTCTACAGCAGAAATTCAAGCTGCAGTTGGCACTACAGTGACACAATGAATTGTTACAAATCAGTTATTTGAAGGATAGCTCCAAGCCACATGCCCTGCTGGCTGCATTCCACCGACTCCAAACTTCTGCCTTTTGTGACATCAGTGGTGTTAAGCTAGAGCTCACTGGAGGACGAAGTGGAGATCTGTTGTGTTTTCTGATGAACATTGGCTCTTCCTTGGCACCAGCGATAGTTGCATGCTGGTTAGAAGGAGGCCAGGTGAGCACCTGAAACCAACCTGTCTGCTGCCTATGCACAATAGATCTATACCTGGACTTACAGTCTGAGAAAGCAATTTCATATGACACTCTCATGGTTATCCCACACACTCTAACTGCAAATTTGTATGTCAGTCTGGTGATTCAACCTGTTCTGCTGACATTCATGAACAGCCTTCAAGAGGGTATTTTTCAACTGGATAGCATTTGCCTTCAAACTGCTGTTGTAGCCAAATATGCTCTACAGAGTGTTGACATATTGTCTTGGACTGCTAGATCACCAGATCTATTTCTCCAGTTGAGCATACATGGGACACCATTGGACAACAACTTCCAGCGTCATCCACAGCCAGCATTAACTATCCCTGTATTGACCAATCAAGTGCAACAAGCATGGAATTTCACCCCACAAACTGACATCCGGTATCCCTATTACAAAATGCATGCATGTTTGCATTAAAATTCAGGCAGATTGGTTATTAAATGGCTCTTCTCACACTTGTATTAGCCTGTGAGTCTGAAAATTTAATCAATCAAATATGTTTAGGATTGCTTTTTCAGTAAGCGTAGCAATGAAAATCAGTAAAAAGTATTACATGAGAGACAAAATTTATATAAAAATATTTCCATCAAAGTTATATAATAAGTTATAAGCAAAGTTTTTTATTATCTTAGTAATCAAAACTCTATGTTATGCACCAATTACTATGTATCTTTCTCACACTACTGATCTTTCACTCATTTTGTATGCCTTAATTAAATATTGTTAGTAATGTGTTACTAATGTGTTAAATATTGTTACTAATATATATAAACTTCACACATAAAATATAAATTTCTATAAAAACTGAATTAAATATTTATAATAATTAACTTAAAATCCATTTATTAAATGTTACCTCTATTGCCATTTGAAATTGCTGATGTTCAGTTCTTAACTGTTCTGCTTCAGCCAATGATGATGGAATAATGAATGATGCACTGAGCATGGCTTCTCCATTACCTATCCAACTCATAACCTTTAAATATAATATTTATCCCATAAATAAGAACATGATAATTTCCTAAGAATAAAAATTACATATTGTAATATAAAATGCCCAACAGATCACTAAAATTCACACTATTGTGCATTCGATCAGTAAAGTATCAAAGAAATTTAATTTAACAGAAATTGCATGCAAAATAAAAATTTAGATTTCCTGTTTGTAACAAACTAATGCATACAGAACAAACAAACTAATGTATGTAATTTCACTTAATTTTAAACAAGTCAGTCAAAATTTCTTATTAGAGATCGAATAAAGAAATCCTGTATAACAATAAAAATTGGAAGAAAGATAAAACTAAACTGGTAAAAGGGGAAACGATGCAAAATTTTAAGTACAGTACAAAGTCTGAAATCTGTATATTTAATATACAGAATGATCTTTATATTTTTCAGACTCCTGATACATAAGCTGATTTTGGTACTAAATAAAATACTTGGATATTGAAGATCCAATCATTTATTAGTATAAATCTGCATGATCAATAATTTAAACTCAGTAGCCATGTCTTTCTGCTTGGCATACATCTCAAATTGAACATAATTTATTTTAACTTACTGAACATTCCTGACCCCAACTTGAAGATCATTATCTATTACTTTTGCTTTCACCAGGACATGACTATCAACATGCAGCGGCTTGAGTGACTCACACAGCTATATCTAAACATTTTTTTTTATATTAGTAATTGAATACCAAATAGTATGGCAACTTTTTATGCTGACATTATGCTTAGTAATGATTACAGACTTAAGTTAACTGCCTTGTGAAGTACTGAATGTATTGATGATGAGAACTTTAAAAGAAATTTCTTTCTATGTGCAAAAAATACATTTTGTGACTAATAATCATAGGCCAAACGATTACATTTTGTAAAGTTTTAATAATAATAACTGATTCTTTTTTCAGATATGTATTTTAAATATATGCAAGAATTTATTTATATCACGACTCAGATACTGCAAAGCAATTCTTGCAAGAACGCACGAAAACTGGGGGACATATTTTGACTTGATGTTGTCTATTGACTTATATTTTATTATAATTATATTTTGACAAAGACACACTGAAACTCTGGCTTAACTTCCTCAGAGTGCAATAGAAACATGAGAAAATTTAGCAGCTGTATCATGGGAATAGTGACTGCCTATCTCATTATACATCGCCAACAGTATATAGCAGATACTATAAGCTTTATGATGATAACCATGAATTTGAAGGTTCCTGAATTTCACAAATAAATAATTAAATTTTCCAAATTATGGAATTATTTTTTTTTAATTTTTGAAATCTACTTCTAACAATTGGAATAAAAACATCTTTTTGCATGCTCCAGTATAAATCTTCATCTGGTAAATTATGATATCCATTGTATAAAAGTAATCCAAAAAACTAACCTATATATTTTTGCCAACATACAATGTTTCACCTTTTTGTAATAGGCTTATAATTCTGTCATTTTTGCCAGATGTATGAAATAATTTATTGGCAAAAATTAGTGAAAGTTTTGAATAAGAGCAAGTCAGGAAAAATGGGGCAAATATTTTCAATAACTACAGGAAAGTTACAGTTTTGTTCCAGCAATAACTCATGTTTTCATATTTGAAAGGCAATGGCTTTCAATTTTTTGCTTTTGAAGTTGACAAAAAATGTCAGAATCATCTTTGAGTCAGATGGAATCCTCATGAGAATTGTTAGCGAAAACTTCTATTTGTCTGCATAGATCTGCAGGTGTAATGCATTCAAAAGGATCCTCATCTATCATCAATTACACATCTACATTTGTATGGAGACAACTGATATATATCAATAATAATTCCATCAGAATCATCTCATAAAGCATAAAAATAATCTAAAGCTTCTGTGACTGTTAAAATTCCCTTTGGATGTCTGGCACAGAGCAGTCTACATCACAAAATGCAGTGACAGCATAAAGTCTGCATTAAAATAAACAACAGGTTACATTTCCTATCCACTCCTTTAAAGAGCAGGGATGTACGAAAGACAAACTAGAAACAGCCACTTTTCCCATGTCAACAGCAACAGAGGTTTTAAACATCATTTTTCTACAGTTTCAACAAAATAAAGTGATTTAAAAAATCGTGTAATTTTATACTATGAAAAATTCCAATGGTCCCATTTAGGAACATATAAATTTGCTTCCTTGTATCAAGCACAGTTTTTGTCAGAATTTTTATAACTAATGTCTTTTCATTAAAGTAAACCTTGATAATATTATTATACATTCATTTTTATATTTTGATTTATTTTTCTATTTTCAGGGAATTTTTAAGCAATGCAATAACAAAAATGCTAGAAACGCTGTTTTTTATGTTCTGTACATAAGATAATTTATTTCCAAACCATAATTTTCATGCCAAAAATCAAGCATGCTTTTGATTATAAACAGTAATTTTTACAAGTTGATTAAAAATATAATTGAATTTAAAATTTTATGTGGCCATTTTACATCTCAGACTTTAGAGTAAAATTTATTAAGCAACTTCATTTAATTCAATCTAGCATTCATTCACCTTCATTGAAATTTTGAAACATCATATGTTGTTATTATACATACCTGACTAGCATCATTTTCCAACTGGCATAACTGAATGCTCTGTTCAAGTTTAACTCGCTTCATTTCAGCAACATCTTCTAAATCTAAATGACGCTCCTGTAGGAAGTCAATCAAAACTTGCACCCTTGCCTGACCGTCATACTGATGATCTGCCATTAACTGAATTCCCGAAGACTCAAAGAGCTAAAATAAATGTCAATCATGTAAAATGAGAAAATTGCAAGCACGTAATTGGTGACAATAATAATAATAATTTTATACACAGTTATCGAATATGCACAGATGTAATGTTTTAAAAGTATATTAAAAAATCCAACTTACATAAAAAAATAATTTAAAGGATATATTAAGATTTCACTGCACCCAAATATTTTTTAATGCACACACATTTTATAAACCCAATACAAGTTTTAAAAACTTTCAAAAATATTATAAACTACAAAACATTAAATAAAAAACTTTACGAATTAGCAGACAAATGTTTGATACAGATGAAATACTAAACATAAATAATCCAAGACCAAATATGTAAATGATTAAACAATCATGGACAAATAATGGCAAAGATTTGTTCAAGAAACACCAGCACTGCAGATAGTATACCAAAAACAAGGTCTGATATGAAGTACATGTTGAACTGCACTTACAGACGTTTGAATAGACTGCAGGAATATCTCCATATATATACTCAAAATAAACAAAAGATAAAGACTATATCACTGGATTAAGAAGCCATTAGATCCAATCATCTGTACCTGGGTTGAAGTTATGCGACTTTCTAATAATGTTGATACCAGAAGTAGAGATCATGGAAAATAAAATTTGTGAGACACGTGTACCAGGAAAACTACACGGCATGGTGCTTGAAAACTGTTATATACCAGTATTCAGCAGTGGTTAACTGCTTGCCCACTGGTGGGAGCCTGACTTGTCAAAAAGTACTACATTCTAGGGGATCACTTCTTCACATATCATGAACAGCAAGATGTGCCCAAATCTTTTTGTAACAGAGCCTGTCCTCATCCGTAATGAAGTAGTCAGGACAAAAAGAAGCAAGGCATTGGAATCAGTAAGCCTTTATTGTTGAATACCACATGCTCTTTCAACAACACAAGACTATTCAAGGAACCTTCTCCTATAAATAGCCAGTGAATCTTTTCTATACTTTGCACTAGCAGTACATTATGTTAAGACCAAGTCAAGAACCATTTAATCCTTACAACATTAGAACAGCATTCCAAGGAGAATTTTTTCAGCAAGCAAATGACAAGCCACATAAAGCAGGCAAAGATTTACTCTGTAATGCCCCCATTCTCCCATAGCTAACTCAATTATCTAATCTTTCATCAATTAAATATGTTTAGTATATAATGAGACATGTGTATACCCTTCCCAAAATGCTATCACGGATCTTGATACATATGAATCAGTTTAACTAGCAGATAATTAATTGTATCTGAATTACAGCCATTACAAAACATGGAATTCTTCAACTTCAGCAGTTGTTTTATCTGAATTAATGGCTGCACTACTACAGAATTGTAAAGATTTCTAGAAATATTATTATTATTGTTATTTACATTTGTGTAGACTGCACATTACTTTCATCATGCCTGGATGATTCTGGAGAAGAAAAAGGGAACAAAAAATATAATCTCAATATTGAATAATATTTTAATATAACATGCTGCATGTGCAAAGTAAAAAGGAAGTATTGTAATTGCGAAAAGTTTCAGGCAGCATATTTCAACGAAAATATCCCTTTTGACTGCTATTGAATGCAATTTAACGATGTTTTTGTGTGACATCTGTACGTAAGCACAGAATAAAAGACTCTTTTCTCCAAAACAATTATAAAACTGGTTTAAAATGAATTCTAAAGAGAATTTTTCGTGGTGTCTGTACATACGTATGTATCTCGTATAACTCAAAAACAAGTAGCCTCAGAACGTTGAAATTTTGTATATAGGACTGTTGTAACACGTAGATGTGCACATCACATTTTGGTTGCATCACCAAACGTATATATATATACTCTCTGTTACCCGGCTCAGTGATCTCAGTTTCTTTACTCTTATATGTTTGTAAATTGTGAATTTTTTTGCTTTAAAAGTGATTGAATTATGTTGTTCTTATCTTCCTGTTAAGGTTTTTATGCCTTTAGGAAATCTGCAAGCAATATTTGTAGAATTATCAACAATTTAAAAGCTGTTTAAGTGCAATTAAGACTAATTTTTAAATAACATGACAGACATGTTTGTTTACATTTGAAACAGCAGAATAGTAGATATGTTGCCAATCTAGAGAGACTAAGCTTCGCAACAACAAAGATAACTCCTTCATTTATTATCGTGAATTAAATCATGCTTAAACCTTTCTGGAATTTTTTGAGGAAATAAGTGTAAGATTTACTTCAAAATTTATTAATATAAATATTTTGAGTTTTTATGTATTTTTGAATTGTCGTGAAGTGAGAACTGAATTGATTGATTGAGAAATACTGAATCGTCTGTGAAAAACTGTTTCTTTTTTGTTTTGTTTGCTTTATTTCTTTTATACATCATTCTAGATTTATTATAGTATTATAATAGAAAATGTGGCAATGATTAGATAATTCTTCAAATGATATAAATTTTGAGCATTCTGAATTATAATATTGTTATGAAATGTCCAGGTGCAGTGAGATAGCTTCCCCGCAAAGCAGTTTTAGGCAGGGTTGCCACATTTGGCGACCAAACACTCATTTAGCGACATGCCATGGACGGATGGAGAACCTTCTGGAATGAATTCTTACCAGTTTAGCCCAGAATGTTCTCAAACACCAGCCAAAAGCTATATAAACCCTGGTGGTTTTGTGGAGAGTTAGTCAGTATCGAGTTGGTATCTCGTCTAGTGAGTCAATCGAGTTGACAGCCGGGCAGTGAGTGCCGAGCGGGCCGTTGAGTGCATCGAAAGAGTCTCGTAGTGTATCGCGGTTAGTGCATCGTCAAGAGAGCGTGTTTAGCTCTGGGAACGACTGAACCGAAGAGTCGGAAGATGTGATGTGTTCTGTGTGTCGTCAAGTGTATTGCAAGTTATAGTATGGAAAGTCTCGAGAGTGCGTGCAGTTCTGAGAATGACCAAGCAGAGTCGGGAGCTGTACTCTAGTGCTTTGTTGTGAAGCTGTCTCCACCATGATAGCCTGATAACCTGGATGCTGTGTCGCTGATCGTTTCAGCGTGTTTATAGTAGTTCATTGACGACTGTAAAACCGTGTTTTGGAGCTTTCCTGACAATGCTGGCTAATAAAGTGTGTTTCGATACTTCTTCATCAAGTGCCGTAATTATTCACTCCAAATCCTCATGAACCCCATAAAGTAATGTAAAGAAGAAGAAGAGAAAATAACGTAACAATATGAACGAAATATAATGCTGTTAAGTAAACCTACCACCAGAGTGTCACTATGGTAAATAAATATAGTGAATTTTAAAAAGTGCATTTATTCTATTGTGGTTTATGCACTATCAATGAAGTAGATTTAATTCAATCCAATAAGTTTAAATGAAATGCAAGGAAAAATGCGCATAATTTAATATTCCGTGCAAGGAAGTCATATTGTGTACACATCGGATTTTTTATTATTAAGTTTCAAGTCACATATAACAAGAATAATGCTCTAAGATAACGACCTCTAAGATACAGCAAAGCTCTAAGATAACCAAACAGATTGATCTTTTATGGATATCATCTTACAAAGGTGATTTTCAACATAAATGTTTATTTATATAATCTTAAATAATGACCAGTTTCAGATGTGGTTATATTAGTAAGATAGTTGCGATGGAAAGGCTCACAGCGCATTATTTTCAATTACAGAATATGAAAATGGATAATTGTCTAAAACGTTACAATACTTGGTAGAGTTCTTGGCCTCTCTGAATGACATCTAATGCAGTTTGTTGCATATTACTGACATTTTCATTATGAATGTGAAGAGTATGTTCAGCTTCTGACATATCCCTTGCAACATCAGAATTTTGAAGCTCCTCAGACCATAATTCAAGCTGGGAGGATACCTATAATATTCATTTTTAAATTTCAGATATGCAACTTATAAAAAAGCTAGTCTTTTAATATTTTTATGAAAAAATATCCAAAAAAAATAATCATCTTTTGAAATCAACACATATATAGGGAAAATATATCATTTACTATCTTTTATTAATTACAATTATATCACAGTTTTTAAATTTTTCATGAATTCTGTTTCTAAACTGTTTTAGCTTATTCAGGATATTATTCTAGTCTTCAAAGAATTGTATTTACTTATACATATGCTTTAACATATTCTCCACACTGTATAAATTATTTATGATTTTATGATACAAGGACATTTCGAAAAGTAAAGATACAATGGCTCATATTCCTTTAAAAAAAAAAAAAAAAAAAAATTTTGAAAACGTCAGTTACAGTTTATTAACTGGCTTATTTATTATTTTTCGACATAATCACGCCCATTATCCAAAAATTTGTTAAGTTGGTGCACAAGCTTTTGTATCCCACAGTCATAGAAGGTTGCCGCCTGTTGGAACCCAGCGCACACACAATTTCCTGTACCCTAACTTGATAGTCACAACTTCATAAAGAGTTGTCATTGACACTTCCAGTATGATCTGCTGCAATTCTTTCAATTTGAGACGTATATTTGAATGAATTGCTTCTTCTGTTCTCTGAAGAAGGGCATCAGAGATCACAGATGGCCGACCTGTTCTTTGTTCTTCATAAACATTGGTCCTACCTTCAGAGAAATGACGACACCATTTCGTTACATTTTGTTGATTCATAATGTTCCCATAAACAGAAACAATTTCTTTGTGAATATCCGCTGGTCGCTGACCTTTTGCATGAAGAAAACGTACGACGGAGCGGGATTCTGAATCAGCGCAGCCATTTTAAACATGACCTGCTCCAACCAGAATCAACGTTGAAATGCCGAACGACCGCGAGGAGAAAGCAAACAGTTCAAGGTTAACACCTGTGTTGCCAACTTGCTCACCAAAACTTTTCTTTTCCTCTGGCGTACGGTGTATCTTTACTTTTCGAAATGCCCTTGTATATATATAAGAAAGGTCTAAGGTCAAATTCAGACTATTTATTTTTTATTTATTTTTTAATAGTAGAATAAATATAGACAAAAGGAAACAGTTTTTATTTTTCAATATAATTTTTCCCTACAATAACGCACATATCACTAGCATCCAGATGTCAGCAATGTAGTCAGCAAGATTTATGCCATTATCGAACTGCTTGCTTCATTTCATTGTTATTGTTAAAGTACTGTCTCCTAGCAATTTCTTGAAAGGCCCAAACAAGTAGAAATTGTTTAGTGCAAGGTGCAAACTGTAAAGGATGTAGGGCAATAATTTCCTGTTGATTTTCTAAAGATGCATGTTTAACATGCAGTGTGTAGATTTGTATTATTGCATAGAAACGAATGTTGTCAGTTATCAAACCTGGCCATTTTTTCTTAACCATCATGAAGAACTCAACAACGGAATTTATGTTAATAATAAACAAAGGACAGGAAACCCACATTAATAATGGCAGCTTATATTGGGGTCACATTTGCATTTACATTACTTTTTTTAATTACGGTTATATCACATATTTTAAATTAATTCTAAAATCAAAATTCACATTCTAAACTATTTTAGCTTATTCAGAATTTTAATCTCGTTTTCTAATATTACATATTCTTTATAAATTATTTGTAATATGTAAATAATTCCAGCACATAATAGTTTGTGACAATAACTGCAATTTATCTTCATAGAATAACTTTTGAAAGAAAGAAAAATGCATTTGAAGAGAGAGCATTATCGCACTATGATTTTCTACTATTTTAAATTGGGGCTAAATCAAGAAGACTGCTTTCAATATCATAGCATATAGAAATTAAGCTCCATCTCAGGTCTGTCAGATGGTTTACAGAATACTGTAGAGGTCAAAACTCTCTCCTGGATGAAGAACATACAGGAAGCCTTTAGCCAGTTATAGTCCCAAAAAATGTGTCAACCATAGCAAAAATGTTTATCACTGATAATCATTGTACTTATCAAATGATACATATGGAACTCTGCAGCTATGCATAAAACTATTGATAAAACAATTTTACATGAAAAAACTTAGTCTTTTGTAGGGTCCTCCACAAATTAACATAACAAAAATCAAAGCATGTCAAAATCAGTAAAGGAACATGAAAATTACTTAATGATGATAGATACCACATTCTTCCTAATCATAACTGATGACGAAACATACACACCAACTTTTGACGTTCCAACATGTCAAGAAAATAAAATATAGGTCCTTGAAGGCAATCCCAAATCAACAGCGAAAAGACAATGAGCAATGGAAAAAAAAGTAATGTATATCATTTTCTTCAGAAGTGCAGGAAAGATTAAAGTCATTAAGTTAGAAAGACAGAAGACAGTTACAGTCAAGTGGTACACCATTAAGTGTCTTTTAAAAATTCAAGACGTGAACATTAGGGGACACACAGTGCCGGATTTCTGCGGGGGCCTCACACAGTGCCGGATTTCTGCCTAGGCCTACGAGGCCCCGGCACAGGGGTCCCAGTGGCGAAATCTTTACATAAGCTCAAAAGTCTGCTTGCATTATCAAAAAGCTTTATCGGAAATAATATTAAAATAAATATTTTTACTACATTTTTCCCAAACAGGGAGCTCATAATATAACTTACAGCCCTGCGCACAAAAAAGCTAGAATTACGCCTCTTCATTTCCCCCCCTCTTGTAAGCCATTTTGAGATGGTGGGGGACCAAAATGTCAAGTGCCTAGGGGCTCTGGGTCTCTAAGTCCAGGCCTGGGGGCACATGCTTTACTATGAAAATGAATTGTCTCATTCAAAAACATATCAAAGTGATAGAACATCCACACTATTCTCCTGATCTTGCTAGGCATCACTCTTGGATATTTTTAATATAAAATGAAATTTAGATGGCTGTCATTATCATATCGAAGATGAGACTGATAAAGTTAAAGAGTCACCTACAAAAGTGCACTGGTGTTAGTGGAAACTACTTTGAACGCACACAAGGTTTGGTAAGTTTAATACCATTTAGCTGTTTTTCAAAAATTTCAGAGTTATCCTTAATATTGCTTCATTTATTAATAATTTATAATCCTTCATTTATTTATGATCTATTCAATTATGATTCAAATGTGCTCTTCACTTATTAATGATAATACACTCACTCGGAATTTTTTGGCAGGGGGTTAAATTTGATCGTTTCTACTAATTTGATGCAAATTTTGATTTAAGCTGAAATAATGCACCCACATTTCTTAATGTTTCACCAGAAACAACAGCCTGATTGAGAAAACACTCAACTTTTGTGTCAAAATATCCTTAAATGTTCAGGCTTCTTCGCTCAATGAAGGAAGAGAACTGCACCAATGTGCAGAAATCTTACGGCACCACAGATGTGCATGAAAGTTTATGTGGGAAACACAAATGATTATGTTGAAAGTTCCCACAACAAGACCCATTTTGAATGTTGGCAGCATGTAATCCACTGATATTTTCAAGGTGGCATTTTTTTTAACCAAGTGACTTGAGTTGCTCTGTGATGTTAATATGAAACACAGTAAGAGTCAAAAAATGTCATTCAACTTGAACTGCCTTATGCTTCAATTTTTTGCTTCATTTTTATCTACAATCATAACAATACAGCAATTTATTTGAAAAGTTTTATGCAAAATTTTCAAAATTAATGAAAAAAATATATTTCTAATATCAGCTTTATTCTAAAATTTGCAAAATTAATGTAACTACCTCTAAGGCATCTCTTTCAAATAACCGCAACTGAAGGCACAAATCTAATTTTAATTTTCTGTTAGCCCAAAGCTCTTCTAATTCTTCTCTACTTCTACCAAGCGATTCAAGAAGACCTTCGATTGCAGCATAAGATGTACTAGCATCTGTATCAGGAATAAGGCCAGAATTTCTGCATAAAAAATAAAACTATGATTTTAATATATATATATATAGTCAAATGCAAATCATATTAGAAAATAAAATTTTTAACCTGAAAATACATCATAAGTACTGCCTTACCAAAAAATATCAGGGTTCATAGCCATATTTTATTTAAAAAAATAAGCACCTATAAGCACTTTTCAAGCAAATTTTAAGAAAAAAAATAAGCACCTGTCTAATTACATTATACACACTGCATAACCTTAAAAATTAGACTTGTAATTTAATATATGAGAAATGCAGTATTTATTAAGAGAGAAAAAGGATTACCTCAACCATGGAAAATAATTACTTTTCTCTTTTAAAAAAAATTTTAAACAACAATTCAATTTACAGAACTAGTTTACAATGAGAGAAAGAAAAAAAACTATGCAGAACTAAACTATATTACAAGATTTAATGATGAATTTTCAGTTCAAAATAGAGAAAATAAATAATAATAAGGCATATTTATTGTAATCGCTTGGAGCCTAATAATAAATACAATTTATTTTCCCACTCATATTAATATTTAAATAATTTAAATCTAAATTCTGAACATTTTCTAAATTTTCATTGTATATCAGTTTTTTCCTTATCAGATATTGCAAGCAAAGTAATTTAAGTAAAAAAGAGGAACATTTCTGAAATCAGAAGACAGAAATTTGCTTCATGCAAATTTTTCCATTTCATCCTTTAACCAGTAAAAGCTTAACTAACCCGCATACTTGGAAATTGGTGAATATTCGGACAGTCGAAGCGTAACTTGAAAAAGAGGCGGGGTGGGAAGGGTAGACTGTAGCCGCTCTTTAGATTTTTCCGCTAAATAAGTGCTTTTGACATTTTCGATATGTGCATCATATAAAAATAAACCAATGGGAACTGAAAAATATTCTGCTTAGCAAGCACAGTAAAACTCTTTTAAGTGTTCATAAACAAATCTCGGACAGAACATCAAAATTAATTATCTCTGCAAAATATCGCAAACGTTATTGCGCACAATACGTGTGTCGTAATTCTTCCCTACGTGATATTACGCAATCGGAATCAACAGCTGCCGGTATTGGGAGAATAAAGAACTAAATAACTGGGGTGTTTTTCATTCTAATTTTCAACAGACGGCGTTAAATTTCCCGGAATAGAATCATTCTTCGCTTGGGTTGGTAGACCGCAGAACCTTTAGTCCTATTCAATCCAGATTGGAAAGTGACAAAAAAAGTCCATCACTTGTTTTGCAGCGAACTGCAATGGTTTCAATATTCGAGATTTTGCGGAGAAAGGGGAGAACCTCCCAACCTTCGTACTGTATAATGTATTGGCCAAAAAAATGAAATTATTTTGACTATTCGATTACTTTCCCTTTATTTAAGCCATTTCCGAATATTATTCCTTAGAAAGCTATCTGTGTTAAAACACAACCATTTTTGGAAGTTTACTATACTTTAGAGTTACTGCAACTATGTTATTATAAACATTCATACATATGCTCATAATATAAGCATAACAATCATAATAAACACGAATATGAACTGTCCAAGCAGAACGAGAATGCAAATTTTTAAGATCTTGATAGAAATTCAAACGTGTGTAGTATTTCGGTGGGAGGAAAAGAATGCCGAATGTAGCGGAATTTTCTACTACTTTCGCAATTCTTTGACCAATAGAACGACAGGCACCTGTCTGTACTCTTTGTGCACACCAAAGGTTATGTTAATGCAGAGAAAGGAGGATAAGCTATTTTCGGGAGTATGACTCACCATCTGACATTCCATTTTTTATTAGGAAGAAAAGTTGTTTATTTAGCTTCAGCTTTGGTACGGGGAAAAATAGGGCGTTCATTTAAAAAAAAAAAAAAAGCATTAACAGCAAAAAATAAGCACTAAAACAAAAAAAAAAAAAAAAAAAAACAAGGGCTTTAAAGAAAAAGTAAGCACCTATAAGGGCCTTTATATTTTATTTTCAAATATAAGGACTTATAAGGACTTATACGGACCGCTACGAACCCTGAATATGCTATCAACAAGTTTTAACAAAAATAAGTTACAGTTTTAAAATTCCATTCTGCATTATTTAAATAATGCTGCATTCTCCCTAAATGATTAAAATATAATTTCAAATGAGTTATGCTTTATAAAGGCAAACTGATTCATACTGCAGTTCTTCTAACAAAGCTTCACCCTCTGATATTGTATTCATTGCAGCATCAATTGTAGAGTCTCTCTGTTGATTGAACTGCTCAAGCAATTGTTCTGCACCCTCAACATTTTCTGCAACTTCATCGCTTTTTAGCTCTTGGCGAAGTTCTTCAAACCAGCTGGATAACTGGAAAATAAAGAAAACACTATTTTATTGAATATTTTCTCAATTTTTAACTTTAAAAGAAAAATACCTCACACTTTTTTAACTTGTTTAAAAATTCTTTTAAGGAAACATTAAATCAGTTATAAATGGAGCAAAGGTCAATATGCATTAAAAATTATCATTTCTGTATAACCATTAAAAACGTCAAATTTTCCTTTTGGGAGCAGTGGGAGAAAAGTGACATACAAGTTAAGGTTTTTTATTATGTTGATAGTTTTAAAATAAATTGCAATGCATGATTAGCAAAAAATCACAATACCCTAAAAATATGAAAATATTGTGAAAAATTATAAAATTTTATCAATTGTAAACAAACAAAAAATACATGATTTAGAATACTTAGAAATATTTTCTTATGGTTTCTTTAAATTGAAAATAACTAATTTATGTTCATATTTTGTGTTGCTATTATTTATTCCCCCCCTTAATGTTCAAGTAAACAAGTTTTACCTAGAAATCAAAATTAACAGAATATACCACAACAAAAAGAATACCTTATTTCATGCTGAAAATTTCACTGAAAAATTCCCCCCCCCTGTGCTTTCAAAATTTTTAATTACTTTATACTGTTATTTTAACAACAAAAAATTACAACATATTTACATTACATATTTTGTTTTTAACATAGTTATGAAACAAAGGGAAAAAATATCTCGTACAAATGGATCAATGAAAACCCAGATATAATTTTAAATAATTTATCACTTTTTATTGTTATACTAACAGTCAGAAAATATAATTTATAATTATTATACTCTTTTCATATACAATATATTAAACTATAAAAATACTATCAAGCTTGAAAGTCTCAGATTCAAAATTAAGTTAAGTAAATAATATTCTGTTATATTATTTATAACACTGCATTAATATTGTCAGCAACTCTTATGCAAGATATTAAAATCACAATACATAAGATATTTTGACCAGTTAATTACAGTAGACTCCGGATGATCCATTGTAATACCAGGAATAACCATATCAACAAATCATGGTTAATCTGAATCAGGTTAACCAGAAGTTTTTTTTTGGGGGGGAGGGGTGAAAATAGAAAAATAATTCATATTACAATTAACAGGAAAATACTATTAATAATTTTCTGTATTTTTAAGCAATTTAATTTAAGTTCACCAGCTTTTAAAAATTAAATCAGCATTTAAAACAACAACATACTTCAAAACTGAAAGAACTATGCATCTGCTTACATTACTCTTGCATTTTAAATAGCATTCAACGAAAACATTAATGGGTATAAACTTACTTTACTTGAAATTTACCAATTTATTTGTAACAAATGTTTATATATTCTGAATTACATATGATTAAATTGAATACTGTTGTAAGTAAAAAAAAAAAGAAAAGAAAAATCCTAAATACTTAGAAAACCTTTAAAAATCTGCTATCAGTGCTGTTATCCCATTCATTTACTTTTTCTTTTTGCATTTCTCATAGAAATTTTGCTTTATTCAGATTGTTTGTGATAGTATTTTTTTATAATTCCACAATAAACAAACTTTGACAAGATTCAATTAATCCAATTTGGTTAATCAGAAGTTGACTGTCATTGCATTTACAACAGTATACCTCTTAGTGTTATATGGAAATGTAACATTATTTATAGCATTATAACAATATCATAATATTATTCCCTTTTACACTACATAAATGGTATTACATCTACACTATTGAAATATAAAAATCAGTCAATCAAAATTTAAATATATAATATTTTACAATATGTAATATTTTACATTACTATATTTAATTTTTGATTGATTACTATATATAATTCTATTACAATATTTTACAATAATTAAAATTCATATAAATTTGCTTTGAGCTCACAAATGAAAACAAATTCATCATTATCACATGAAGCTTGCATCAACTTATAATGGCATTATTATAAATGAATGATTTATCAGCACTCTGTTACCAAGATTTTACACAATTTTTTTAAAATTAAAGCATCATAAATGCAAAGACAAATAAAACAGCAAAATTAAAACCTCATTTTCATGAGTGAAAAACATGACAGCTAGATCAAGTAGATTTCTTCTCTGATCCACTCGTGCAGCAAAACTAGTAATGTGACCTTCCAGCTCTTGTGCAACACTATATATTTCTTCTGCATTGCATTCCCCTGTTTGGGCCAATTCTTCTGCAGCAGCCAATAATTTTTCAGCATTGGTGTATGTATTCTGCAAAGAATGATGAATTATGCGCATTATGAAAAATGATCCAACTTACAGGAACTCAATCTCCTTAATACATTAAATTTATATTATAACCACATTTTGCAAATATGAGTATTATGCAATTAGATAGAATTTTTTAATGAATTAAATGAGGTAATTAAATTGTATGCATTTAATAGCTAAGCATTTCTTTAATGTTTTAATTATGTCAGAAATTTTTTTTAAAAAATTTCATTAAAATTAGATTTCTTGAAATTTAAGCCAAAGTTAAACATTTTCTTTAGTATAACCTGGTATACAAAGAAAGTATAGAGACTTCACAGTATAACCTGGTATACAAAGAAAATATGCCGCCAATCACTCAAAAGGACATGAATGCATGCTTTGAAATTTATTATGTTGCAATACACTGAAACTTAAAAAGCTTCCAGGTTCTTTAACAAGACACATCTGAGAAAGTAAACTGATCATATTTAAAATATTCTTCATAAGGGCTACACAGGTCTTGTATCCTAACCTGAAAAAAGTTGGGTTCAGCACCTGATCAGTCTAAAGAATTTAGATGATATAAAGCTGTATATGCTCAAATATTTTAGAATTAATAATAAAATTTTCTGCAATTTGACTGACAATGGCATTGCTACTCCATTTTATATATGCTAACTGCCATTTGTCAGAAGCATCTAAATTGTATATCCATTACCTACATCCAATAAAAATTCTAATGCAAATATAATTAGATAATTACATATCTACTAACCACTTAAAAGTAAAAATTCTAAAGAAGATGACACTTCTATAAGTCAGAACAGGCACCCATCGTTCTTCAAATGGATATATTACTCATATAATAAATATTAATGTAACATAAAAAATTACAGCACAGGAAATATACATGAAAAACTATAGTTTTTAGAATAATACAAAATGAAGCAATAAAAACATGACCCATGCAATAGTTTATCTACAATAGTTTTAAAACAGCTATTTATAATACTAAATAATTTTACAAAAAACAACAACAATAAAATGATAGTATACAGTACTTCCTCACATATTAACACCCCTTCTATTTTACTAATATCATTGTCTAAAAACTTAAAGCAAAAAATTTAATTTCCAAAGAGCATGGATACAATAAGATCATAACAAATGATTTTTTTTTTTTTTAAATGGCCAGGCACTATATAACAAATGAAAAGCAGTCACTGATAAACTTTAGGTACTATTACTATCATAATATGATGTACCTGATATCAGGTACATCCAGGCCCACGGCGACAATAGATGCAAGGTCGTGCAGCAAACGATGGTGCCGAGTCAAAAAGGCACCATTCGATCATTAAAACAAGCAGTTCGTCTCACTGCCTGCCTGAACAGGAAAATTTTTGTCATATTTGAATGCTTCTCTGTGAGTCGACTCAGGTAAAACCTGAGAAGCTACTGATTAGGATCTGTACTTAGGCAGTTTTGACCACGAGTGTTTAAAATCAGTCTCCAAAGGACTGGAGTCATCGCTGTCGATGGTTTTTTCAGGTTCGGCAGGGACAACATGGTACTGTCTTGTCTGTTCTGTTGATTGTGGTGGAGCTATTTAGTCAGATATTTATGGTTGTCCGGGGTGAAACAGCCCCATCGATGGAGTTGGCAAATTCAGCTAGCCTTTAAACTGCTTGAAGTTTTTAGTGGGCGCCTAGAGCCTCAAAACTGCATATTCATTTCTTTTCTTGGTTTTTCACTGGGGTCACCTAAAGCCGAGATCTGTACAGCATGACGTAGTGTTATCTGGCTGGATTGGTGGCCTGGTCTTTCTGACAGTGTTTAAGTGACTTCATTCTGCTGTCCGGGATTGAAGCTCTTGTTGATAGCAGATGTTTTTACCATCCCTTCAAAATGGAAATGTAGAATGTGAGTTTCTGAGTATTCCTGTCGACTCAGCTTAGTCTTAGCTCATCGGCTCAACCGATAGATTTGCGGCCTCTTGGATCACCTCTAGGTGTTGGGGCATTTAACGGTTACAGCCAAAAACATTGCGGAGAAAACAAAAAAGAACGGCCATGACATTTTCTCTTTGCGTTTTATGTCGTGGTCGAAAAAATAGCGGTTCAAAAACTTCGCAGTTTAAAAACATCGTGGTAAAAAATAAAGTACCTACAAATCATCCCTGATGATAACATTGCATACAAGCGTTTTTCAAATTGCATTAGTAACATATTAAGTAACTGACTTTCGTCATAACTAACAAATCGACATCCAAAAAATTGATTGCACACTATACATGAAAATGTTAATGGCACTTTAAGAATAAACGGAAACAAAATTAATATGTTAAACTTCATTAAAACGATATTAGATCAACAAATGTGAAAGAAAATAATTTGATATTAACTAAGCAACTTTATAGAGGTAACTTCATGCAGTTATTTATGTTCCTTTTTCTAAGCATTTTTAAACTGTATTTTTCATGAAAAAATATCAGTAAAGTTGTATAAAAAAAAGGTTAATTTATTAATGACCTTTGTTAATTAACTATGTAAATTTAAAATTCCATTAAGTTCTGTAAGTTGCATTAATTTTCTACGCATTTAAAATTTTTAAGTGCTTAAGTTTCTTATTTTTTCAGGAAAAATTTATTAGTTCATTCAAAAATATGAAATACAGAAGTAAAAGAATTCCTGTTTCCTTCTTTTGCTTCCAAAACATTGAGCGAATATGCATTTACAACTTTTAAAACCTCAAAAATGCATGTGTGCAATGTGATCATCATGCTATGATTTGTAATTACTTTATTTTTTACCACAAAATTTTGTACTACGACGTTTTAGAACTGCAATGTTTTCTTTTTGCTTTACTTTCTTCAAACGATGTTTTGTACCATGGAGTTTTCGCCTTGCGTTGTTTTCTCCGCAATGTTTTCGGCGGACATCCATTTAACTGGCAGCCTCGACCTTGCCAGGTCTGAGTGCCCTTCTCCTAGCACACTGTCTTATTTGACCAAAAAGTTATAACCAGGACAGGAGTTCGTCTTTGGTGTTTGTTCTCTTCTGTCTTATTTGAACGTGGAAACACTTGATGCCGATGCGTATGTAAGGGTAGACACATTCGACAAATTGCTTAATCCTTATTTCGTGTCTACTGTTGCAATAGTAGTAATTTGTGCAACATTATTATTTTTGTGATTACTTGTTATTATTTTTCTACCAAAAAAAAAAAAATAAATAAATAAATAAATAAAAATAAAAAAATATAAAAAAAGGTATGTGCAGTTACATATTATGTTAAATTTAGTTTAAATTTTTAATTCGAAAAAGCAACGATTTGAGCATTATTACTCGAAAACTGTTTACCTCTCATATTTGAACCATTCATTGTCGTATTCTTGGCCACATAAATTACTAATATCTTTCCTCTAAGGTTTTTAATAAGAATGTAGTTCATTCTCCATCGGTCGTAGCTGTTGTAATACAAAAAATACTAAAAACATTTCTTCAATACTCATGTCTGTATTTTCTAAATTAAGATACCCCATACAAACTGATATCTGGTCTTGATGGCTAGCATAAGGTGTACAATCGAGTAAAATAGAAAAATTCTTTGCCTGCTTGATTTTAAATTTGCTTTATATTATATTTATTTATATTTAAAATAATTTGTTTTTATATTATCCCCTAATAAGCTTATTGTTTTATTTTGAATTTTATTTCCAAGGTAATGAAGCATAATTTTTTAGCTTGAATTTTATTAATATATACAGACATTGATAGTGTCAAATTTTGTGATCATTTCTATACACTTTACAAAATTATTATATCTTTCGAATAATTTGTTACTGGAACCACGAAAGGCTAAGTTTTATTTCGCTAAAAACTGAATGGCACTGATATTTCTTTCAATAACATCGCGCCAATGCTTAGTTTCTTTTTTAATGAAATTTGAAATTTCAAATGAACAGGTTTACGCTTTCGTAAATATTCTAAGAAATCGGATAACTCTTTCGTTGTTTGGCCAGATTCGACAAAAGTACATCTAAAACAATTTACCTCTTTTGGGAAACTAAAACTCGAAACCAAGTTTTGGTAATATACAGAACAATTTTCTATTAAGGCTTGGGGATGGCAATAAGGGACATGGGCATAATCTGGAATCATCAGACACAGGCAAATGTGTATTTACTGTAGAAATTGTAGATTTCAATAGTATTTCCTCTGTTTTTTCCCAGGTGAAAACACTTGCTAACTCTTTCTGATTATTAGATTCTTTTGGTAATTTCAGTGGTAGCTGAGACGTTAATGGACAACTAGTATGAGTAGCATCACATTGGGTATTCTTTGGGTTTTGGAATTCTAATACTCAGACAGTTTTTTTTTTTTTTTTTTTCTTTTTTCTGTTTTTCTTCCGACATCTGTGGAAAAATGAAAACAGAAAACAGAAAAAGTGGAAGTAAACATAAAAGTAGAAAATAACTATTATAAGAAGTATTGCGTAAAATGCTTCTTGAAAACACTCAGAAAGTCACTGTTTGAAATATTTTACTTTGCTTCTGAAAAAAGTGAGTATATGTTAAACCATTGCTTGGAAAATATATAAACTATCAGATCAATACCAAATAATTTAAGGAGGTGGTAGTACTCGTCTGTTTACTAAAGTAAATAAATCAAATTTAAAGTATGTATTAAAGATGTAATGAAATAACTAAGCATTTTCCTTACGTTTCCTGCATAGCTAAAAATCAGAAAATGGGCAATTTTTAATTTCAGAATAATTTGTATATTTTTATTTCTCTTCAAATCTCAAATAGATATATTTTAAATTCAGTGGTACTCCGTAAGTATGTCATTCTTTTCTTCTTGAAGGATAATAATTTTTAGTTTAATAAACAAATATTTCATGTAAAAAAAAAATTCTGAGTAATTTTTCTCAAATCATCACTTTTCTGAATTAAGAAGCTAACCCAACTTTAACATAATATGTTACTGCTCTTATCTTTTTTATGTAGAATAAATATAACATCAAGCAATCACAAAAAAAAAAAAAAAAAAAAAAAAAAAAAATCACAGTAAAGATAAATGTTGCACAAATTACTAAGATTGCAACAGTAGACACAAAATAAGGACTAAGCAATTTGTCGAACACATCTACGGCTCCCACTGTATCCTTGCATACACATCTGTATCACATATTTTGGTTCACATAAATTTACAAGATCAGCTCAACTTAAGTCAAAAACTGGAACAGCATTATTTGATAAAAATAAAAGCAATATACATAATATAGATCTTATGCATGAACTACATTTTTGCATACTTTTGGAGGAAATGTAGCATCGCCGGTTGAAACTCTAGCTATATCGTTTTCAATAACATAGCGGTGTGCAGAAAAGAATTTTGGATATATCCCTAGATACAGCATTTTTTGTGCCCTTTAGTAATCACAGTTTGAACCTTGTCATAAACTACGCTGAGAACAATTTATTCAGTGCAAACTTATTAGATATGTATATTACTTCATTCTGAATTTAAAAATAATAAGTAGTGTTCAGCAATATATTTGGTATCCAGTGCATTTAGTATATTATTTCGCTTTGCTTGCAGTGTTATTTTTTTATAACATGCAACTTATGTTGCTGTTGACTAATGCTCGCTTGTCTGACCTATAGTCAGCCCAAGCCCACGAAATTCCTTGTGCCAAGCAGCGCAAGATACGGCTGTCGTTGGCAACATCCTTCATCACCTTACCTTGATTTAACTCAGTTTCGCCCCCAATTTTGATGGAAAACGCCCTGGGCGGGACAGGTCCAAATGTCTACCACCCCTCTTCTTCTACCACTAACCTTTTGAGAGGGCTTTCACTTTGCATATTTAGAGTGCCCCCCATGCCGCACGGATATTATACATTTACAAACATCCATGTCTTCTCCCGGATTCGAACCAGAGCCCTTCGGCACGGCAGTCATCAACGTTAACCATTACACCAGTTGGGTGGCTTTTAATAACATAAATGTTATAAACATTCAATAAATATGTTTAAGTGCGAGTTTTAACAAAACACAAAATGTTTGCATATTTAGACAAAAGTTAAACTTTATTTATTATTTTTTATTATTATTATCAGGCATGAAAGTGCAAGTTAGAAAAAAAGCTGAACAACGTGCGGACACAAAATTACACAAAAACTAATTACGCACACGCGACCTCAAAAAAAAAAAAAACATTTTAATAAAATATCAACCTTTTAATATAAAAAGTATTAAACATATGCATATGATTAAACTAAAATAATACTTGTACTTACTATTTTGCTATTAATTTTATCTTGTAAAAAAAAAATCAATAAATCACCAAGAGATTGTAATGAATTTACCTTCTTTAAGATGCTCTTTATGTAACTTAATTTAACAGCTGATATATGAATACTGTACACAACATTACAACACACTAATATACATATTTATGTTATATATTACTGCCCATTTTCAGGCAATGACAAGTTTTAGATATAATATATATATATATATATATATATATATATAACTGTTACTATAGCTCTCAATTATCTTCACTTTTAGCTCAATAAACAGTACTTTATATAATAACCAGAAAAAGTAGTCATGTGAGATAATATAGTTACAAAATAACATATAGTTAAAGGAGGAATACAAAAAATAGCTATTTTGTCTCAGTCTCACTCGATCCTGATTAAAAATTTTTAGGAAAAAAGCTTTTTCTTTTTTGCTACTTTTGCAGCCAACTTTTCTAATTTCCATTTGTGAGCTTGTTTCAATTTCTTTTCAGCAGCTTTCAATCCATTGATACTTTTTTTATTTTCTTCTTTATTTTCTGCAATGTTTAATAGCTTTTTTTTTTTAATAAGATTCTTGCTCCTCCTTTTCTATCTCTAGCTCTTCTTTGTACAGTTTATGAGCATTCCTTAAATTTTTACATAGAGTTTTGTGTAATGGAGAATGCAAGTGGTTATCCGTACGTCCGACAGATGGCGCCAGCACCGATTGCTGAAATTATTGAAATCAGCTCTCGTTTGATGGTTGCTTGCTCTTCTTTGATTCGATATTCGTATGCATCTAGTTCCACCTTTCCACATAAGCCCCACCTACTTCGCCTTGATGTGAAACAACGTATTTCGCGATCTCGGCTCAGGCAAACTCGAAAAGTTCGCAACAAGGGGTGCCCGCGTTTGATCACTAACCCGGCGTAATATTATACGATGACATGATGTAAAGTTTTTTTACAAAAGAGGAAAGAGGAAGAGAGAAAGAAAAGAGGAAGAGAGAGAGCATGTCCTCCATTTACCACCCCCCACATTTGCCAGTCGCGATTTCTCAACGGTTCTGCATCGATCTCAGAAACAGCCTGGGTGACGTTCAAAAAAGCAGAATTCCGCGAAAACGTGGAAAACTTTCATGCCTATACTATTATTATTATTATTTTTTTTTATATATATATTGTTACTACATAAAGGTGCTTGCTAGACATTTGCATGACGGTGCCGATTAAGCTTGGCGAGGGCCTGGGTACATCATATTATTTTTTAAACAAAACTTATATTCTAATAAAAATAGCAATATCAGTATTACAATATATAATAAATATCTTCTTTTCTACTTCCTTGTAACTTATATCTCGCCCATTCTTATTGTTGTCTCTGCTACTCCTTATTCTCCAAATCATTCTAAATAATTAGAGAAAGTGAATATGCAGCTGACTCAGGGAATCGTAGATTAAATGTTAGTTTGTATTTGTTTCCCTGTAACTGATCATTTCTTATATTAAGCTGTCATAAAGTAAACTAAATATAATTAATAAGTTTCAGAGTGAACTTCAAAGATAGTTTGCAAGGGTTTGTCTTTGTTAGTAAGATGAAAACAATCACTATGTGAATGAATCCATTTTAAAAATTTAGTATAGCACTTTCTCTAAATGCATACAGGATGGGAAAAATTACTTGAATAATTTAAAATTTTCAGAATCTGGCACTAAAACACTAGGGAGAAAAATATGGTGGAAATAGACTATTGGTTCAAATTTAATAACTTGAAGCTCTAAACAATGCAAGTAAATTCTGATATATTTTATCATCAGATACTGCCCCCTCCAAGAGAAAAAAATCTTTTAATTTTTACTTACTTAAACCTGATAATAATTATGGATCTCAGACAGCAAATAAATAGGTTTTTAGGAAAATTTAAAAATAAAAAAAGTAACTAAACATTTCTTTAAGATTTTTAAGAATTAAACCGGTAAAAGACAATCTAATAAGCAATTTTAAAACAATTCAAAGGATGATATACTTCAAAGTGTATTTTTTCCCCCATTTCACTTTTAAACCTAAATAAATAATGAAGGAAATATACAAAGCAATAACATAAAATTAACACATAAACAGTTTATACCTGAGCTACAGTTTCAAAATGTTCATGGCTTTTCTGAAGAACTTTAGCTCGTTGTAAATTCCTACCCACTCCTGTATTTTTCCTTAAAAATACTTCACCATGGTTTTCTAGCCAATCTAGCACCTTTAAGAAGAATTTATTCCAAATGAAAAGCATATTACATGAAAGTAAACATAAAATGGCAAAGTCAGGCTTAAAATTTTTAATTTAAATAGTATGAAGGTAGTTCGATAGCTTATTTTAATAAACTGAACTAATCAGAAGGGAAAAATTTAAGTAACTTACTTGTCTAACATCTTCTTGGAAAAGACCCAGAGCCAAACGTTGATGTAACTTAACTTTTTTTGTATGCCACTGAGTTTCAAGAGCTCTGTGGTGATTTAGAATCTCATGGATGACAGATAAAACATGTTTGGCACCTTCAGAATAATCTGCAGCTGGATTGCAAAGATGATTATTCCCATTCTGATGTAAAATTTCTGACATATTTTTGCCATCATTATGAGACTGAAAGACAAAAGCATAAAAATAAATTATTTGAATTTTATATTAACACATTTCTAGAAACTGTTATTTTGTGCAATTTAATGTAGCAGTAAATTTTAACTTTTTCTTCAAATATAATAAATCATCACAATCAATTAAATATTATCATGCACATTTAAAAACAAATGCACAGCTGCAAAATCAATAAACAAATTCAATTTTTAACATTCAAAAACTAGAAGTGATAATTCAATCAAATACAACATATTTCAATAAAAAGAAATTATTATTAGATTCTTTGAGAAATATAAATTAAAGCTAACAAACTTCATACATGTTTTCTAGAGGACATATCTGCTCTTGGTTGATGGCATACTTGAACAAGATGATCTAATTGATACAGTAGCTTTTTGCTTGTACTGTGGACCTAAAATAATAAAAAAGAATTCTATTAAAAAAAAGTCAAAAAGTCTTTAAAATATATAATTTCTACAGATAAAAATAATATTAGTATATTTAAAAATACCTTTAATTTGATACAGAAGAACTGAATAAATTTAAACTATTTACTCATTTCAGATAAAATTCATTATACATACTTCTGTATATGCTTGGCACATGTTTTCATACAGTGTTTGATGTTGATGAATAACATCTTCTAAGTGGGCAACTTCTCTCGGTACTACAGTTTGCTCACATGCTTTACTCCAAGGTGAAACGTTACTCATGTACTGTAAAACAGCACAATAATTAATTATAATGAGATTTTAAAAATCACCTTTTTTACAATTTTTGCCACATAAAACTTTTCTGCGAATAAATTAAGAGATTGCCAAGTTAAGATAAGTGACAAGCTGCATGCAAGGAAATAATTTGTGCCCAACTAACTTGACTGTGAAATGCTCTAGATTGCAAAGGTGCAGACATCACTGTGATCGGAGTACCAAGGACCAGAGCTGAGTTACCTTAACTGATGAGCCTCAAAATACGTTTACAAGACAGATGTAACATTCAACTCTAGGAGAATGAGGATACAACATATAATAGGACACCATACGATGTACATTACCGTTGAACCATAAAAACGTGAATAGGTTCTCTGATTCTCGACTAAAGTTCTTTAACTAAGTTTCTCTGAATCTTGATCAAAATTCTTTAACTGAGCTGTCAAACAGAACTCAATTTAAGGCTGAAGCTATGATGGAAATTTTGAAATTTTTGCTATTTAAGGAAATTTAAGGAAAGAGGACATAGTTATTCTCATGAGTTTGCAGTTGATTCTTCTTTTAGGGAATGAAACATTTTGACTCTTAGATTTGTTTATTTTAAGCATAAATGCTCTCCAAGTTTGATCCTCTGAATAGGGTTTGTATTCTTTAGGTCTTTTGCAAGATATAAAATATATGTTTGTTTTGAGAATGATTGCAGATATATTACAAGCTGAAGGAAACAACACGCAACCAATCAGCCTGAAAAATTTATGAATGGCATTGGTATGAAGGTGGAATCGCGGTATAGGTGAGAATTTTGAATGGTCACAATGAATTACACACTTTTAACAGTGCAGCTATGAATGCTGAAAGATTTTAAACTAAACCTTTTGATCCTTATGCCAAGTTGTTTAGGGGTGCAAATGGTAAGAACATCTTCCTAATTAATGGTTGTCCTAATGATAATACTTGTTCTCATAGCACTGCATTAGTGAATGATTCCAGATATATTACAAGCTGATTATCTTCAGGGTAAAGGATTTCAGTGGACAGAAAGGCCTGAATATTCCCTTGATCTAAATCTAATCAAATACATGTGGGATGCACTAGAACACCAACTTGCATAACTACAGCTTTCACCGAGTACTTTCAAGAAATTTTGCATCATTATTCCACATTAATGCATTTTGTCACCACAGAATTCCTGAATACAGCACAAAATTTTATAAAGTTTGCTTTTCAATCAGAGATAACTACACACCTTATTATTTTTTCCACACATCTCTAAAATGTTGTAACACCAACTTTTCCCTACATCACTTTATATCACATTTCTTATGTTCTCATTTAAATTTACTTTTGCAAAATAGGTAATTCTGATTTATGAGTGTACAGTTGAACCTCGCTATAACGATCTCAGCTTAATGAGCCTCTGGATATACTGAATGAATGTTTTGGACTCATACAATTTTTTACGCAATTGTTATTTTATACTGTTACAGCAAACATACAAGAAAATGAAAATTTGATATAACAAACCCTATAGGTAACTTTTATTGAAAATATTTTTGTATTTTTCATACCATTTCGTGAATTTCTCCAAGTTTTAATGAAAAAATTGCTAACCATTAAAATCATCCACATTTAGAATATTAGTATCCATAAAAGGAAATTACCTTTACATTCTTTTTTTTTAACTTCACCCCCACCTTTTTCTATGTTTTAAACAAAGGCTATGCAAGACAAGTGTAGCACATAACTCTAGGAGAATAAGGATATAATAAGTTTAACTTAGGACACTACATGATGCATAAAACTACTGAAACAAAAAACTTTAAGGAGTCCTCTGGTTCCATTCGGCCTTTCCGATAGGGCTGCCATACAAAACTCTAATCAAGGCTGAAACTATGATAGAAATATCTTAATTTTTGCTATTTATGGAAAGAGGAAGTAGTGAATCTTAGTTTTGCAATTTTACAACTGAATCGTCTTTAAGGGAATGAAAAGTTTTAATTCTTATACAATGTTGTATATAATGTTGAATATTCACAAATACTCAACAGTTTGTTTTGTTTCAGTATGAAATCCATCTCCAAGTTCTATCCACCACAAAGAGTTTGGCATTCTTCAGATCTTTTGCAAAACGTAAGTTATTCTTTATAAAGGTTATTGAATCTTTGCGTTGTAGCCATACATATCTTGGATAAATGGATTATTTCTCAATGGCATTGGATAAGACACATAGATGATGAAATTATCTTCATTTTTAATATTTTTTAAAAGAGTAAAATTATCTTATATTCTTTAACCAAATTGCTTGCATTCTTTTCCTGAATAAAACATTCATCAATATGTGAATTGTAAATGTTACAGATCTGCATTAAAGAGGCAGTGAACATTATTTAAAAAATACAAAGTGGATGCAACGAAATCAGTATTGGAAAAACAATTTATTCAAATATACACCTGGAAAAAATCAAAACTCTTATCATTTCTGCTCAAGGAAAAAATTATGATTCAAGGAAAAAGGTGAGGTAGAGGAAGCACAGGGATGTTAAAGAAGGCTTGCCAAAATGATTTGCCATTTAAAGAAGCCGTAACCTGTCACTATCTGGATAAAAGCTTCAGACAAAGCCTGCTGAATTTGCTAGATTATTCAGAGAGAAGGAAAAGAACAAACAAAAAATTTAATATTATGCACAATAATAATTACAATTAAATCTTAATATGATTTTTTATTTAGATTTATTATTCACTTCTTTTAATAGATGTGACAAAACTAATCAGGTTTTTTCCCCCCCTTTATTCAATGTTCAGTTTCATGTTTTCATGAGATAATCTATTTATTGTAACATATCAGATACAGTAAACCACTGGATATGGCAAATCAAACTTCCTGTCCCTAGAAGTTCGCTATTAGGGGTTTCGACTGCATGTCAGGAATGACAAAATAAAGATCTGTGCAAGTTTTCTGTTCTTAGTTACAAAATCATTTCAGTTACAAGAATTTTTACAAGTTGTTCTTTTAGTTTTTCCTTTAGTTTATGTAAGGCAGCCAAAACTTAAAGAGAGCTACTATTAATGTCGAGCTGAATTAATCAGTATCATTTATATATTTATACTGTTATGAATTTTGTATGTGTAAATAATTTTAGATATGTGAAATGTAGAATTCCAAAAATCTGCAAAGCTTGGGACCAGAGGTTGTGCGGATTTTAGTATTTTGCAGACTTCAGGACAGAAAAGATAAAGCATAATATTCAAACTAAAAGTGCAAAATGAATAAGGCGTATTGGATACATTTAATTAAATTAATTTATACATTACTGCAATAATTTATTATATGCATTAAATTATTATTATGTATGTAAATTGATTACATTATTCATTGTGTTATATGTACACAGCATCGAGGTTTACCAATTTCGCCTCATGCAAAGATTTCCGATTTCAGATTCCGGTGTTAGAATCACTGTTGCTGTAAAATTTCAACAGCTTTTCTTTATTTTTCCATATATCATACACAATCATGTCGCAATTCGATACCATTCTGCTATAAATTGAGGAGTAGCACCTGCTTCCATCTATTGCAGAATTTGCACTTTTTGCATTACCATCAATGCACATTTTTCAACGTTGCAAGCAGAAAATCACGAGTGCATTTTTTATCTGTCATTGTGTTAAAAAGGGCTGAAATTAAGAATATTCTTAATTTATCCCCAAAATATTCAGATGAAAAAAAGGTAGCACTAAACAATCTCATGAAATGAAATAACAAAGCTCAGAAAATACAACAACGTGAATCGTGAACTTGAACAAAGAGTTGAGTGAATCGTCTGCTTCTTTACCTCGATGCAGATTAGAGGAGAAAAATTATTTATTTTATCTTATTTTTTTAAAAACTTTTTTATATCAATAATTTGGTATTTCTGTTTTGACTCATTATTATTCAGTAATTATGATGTCATTTATTTGGTAAGTATTTTTTTTCTTTGATATTTCATACTCAATGTTGCGGTTTCCGGAACCTATAAACGGAATGTTTACATTCTGAGAGGCAACGTGGATTTCAGGCGTTGGCAGATTTCAGGTCGGCGGATTTTCAGTATTTGATTGTATTTTTTGCATACTGTAACACAAAATGCTTGTGAGAGAAAGCTCTGCGGAAAATTATGATTATAGCGGCAAGTCTATTTAATAATGAAGTAAACAGCTATCTCACTAAATTGCCAAGATAGCCAAAGCTGGTGATGGTTTTGGTGACAAAAATTTGTTGCCAAGTTTGGCAACTGGTCCGATCTCTGTTTAACTGTAACTGATTCCTACATGTAAGTGTAACCTTATACGTAACTTTATCTACATATGCCTTCTAGTAATTTCTTGGCGGATATAGGGGGGAAACTATATAAGCCAGGATAGAGCATCAGTTGTCAGCTGTTAATTCAGGGCTGACTTCAGAGTACTGAGATATGCATTATACTTAACATTCTTAGTAGTTTGAAGTGTAACTACTGATTGTGCTCTGTGATATTAAGATGAGCAGTACAATTGCTCTCATGAGTTCAGAAGTGTAAAATACTTCTTTTGGGCAAATAAATTTCATCAAGCTATCATCATTTTGTGTGCATTTAATCCATTACAAACCCATACACATGCACAATATTTAACCAAAACAATAATATTTAAAGCAATACTCGAGTGTCCCTCAGACTTCAAGAAAGGGATTCAACAGTACAAGTAGGACATAACATCACTAAAAGGCACATTAGTTATAATTTTGCACAAGAAATAAAATATTTATAAAATAAGAAAATTAAGATACATTTGTCAATGTTATTATTCCTAACCTAATAAGGACAACTTTCCTGCATGTTTTGCAGCAGCAAAGTCTTGAAATTTTATATATATATAATCTTGCCTTGAAATTCTGTCAGCGAAGTCTTGAGATTTCTATATATTTTGATAATTTTGAAGCAAGTAAACAAGGCCACTCTTTGACTATGTTTTTGAAGAACTTTTAGCCTCCATGAAAGTGATGTGGTAAGTATATTTATTATTATTTTATAGAAATATATATGAGAATCATACACATGTGATTATGGTTTCAGCAGGTGAAAATGTGCTCTAGCCCATGCTTGGCATGATTTTGAAAACTGCCAATTAGGCACATTTTGTGAAGTGTTTCCTAAAGGATTACAACTCCAGAAGGACTTGTGTGAAAACAAGCATTAAACGGTGATACTAAAGACAACTAAGAGAAATAAAGTTTTCTAATCTACTTTTTTAACTTGTTACTAAGGATATTAAAGAATTCTAACTGATTTTATTAACCAAAAAAACCTATCCATTATTAATGAACTCTCTGACTGCACTCATATTCTTAACCCATCCCTTCCCAAGCCTCTGAAATTGGTCAGAACTTGTCAATCACCAACTAGACTCGAAGATGCTTATGTGTGCATACAAGTTAATTCCCTGTATATTTTCTCTTTCAACATGATAAGCTTTAGATGATCCTCTGCTTTGGAATATCAAGATCACTAACATTGCTGTGCTTATTGCCTAGAAAATTTTTCGTTACAGGAACCTCTTCTGTAGCAATATGTGACAGTATATATATTGTATGACAACAAGTGCTAAGTATAGCTGAATCATGACTTTCTAATATTGAAAAACACTGCTGCCCTTTCTGTCTACATTGCAATTAAGAAATCCATTTATTGAAGTAAATATCAGTTTCTCATTTAAAAAGTAACTTCCATATACTGTCTATTTAATAAAGTCATGAGTGAACAATCACCAATTTACAATAATTTAAGCATAGATTGAAAAATGGCCTCATAAATAAGAGTTAGAAAAGTGTTGATAAGATAAGGGCCATTATAAACAATATTTTCCCATGTTCATGTACTTAATTTATTCATAAATCTGTAACTCAGATTTAAACTCTATTATCTAATACTCTTTTCTGATATACTGATGATTTGCTTTGAGTAAAAGATGATATACATCTAAAAAGCACAACAATAATTTTATACAGAGAAAATACCGTAAATCTTGAATATCAACCCTACACCTAAATGAAAGACTACCTAAATTAGTTAATAAATATGACATTTCATATAAACTTGACTAACATGTAATGAAAATCCTTTTCAATTTATGGTGAATTTTGTTAATATTCTGAACATATATAAAATAAAGTAATGGAAAATAGAAACACCTAAATAAAATAACAAAAAAATTAAATTCAAACATTCATTTTTATAATAAGATAATGACCTAACAAACAAATACATATGATACTAATTTAAGGGCAAAAACAGAAACTTGAAATTACATACATAAAATAGTAATAAAAAGATTGCAGTTTCTTATTAGTAAAAGGTATTTATCAGTTTTTAAATATTTGCTTAGCTTACAGTTAAAAAAAAGAATTCTGTTAAAGTCTTTTATACGATAGTTTATGTGAATACAGAACAAAGTTTGAAATCCATACATCCAATATCTGAAATGATCTAATATTTGGGCCTTCAGACCATCAACTATTTTTCTTTTTCTTTTTCTTTTTTTTTTTTTTCTTTTTAATTAGGAATGGAGAATACAATACTCCAGAAAAAACAGGTATGTCATTAAAGCAATTCTTCTTCTGACAATCCAAGACTCTCCCTTATGTTGCTTTCAAACACCTGATGGTTTGATGGTTACAGAATCACATCATGACCTGTGACAATATACTGACTCATGTCAGCAGTGACCTTACTCTCAGCCGTTATGTGGTGTGGTTGTGCAGGTGGTAATACTTTTCAATCCGGGGGGACCTAAACAATACATGAAACCCTAACACATATTTTTTTAGAGTGGAATGTTGCTAATACTGGGTTTCTTTTGTTGGCATAATAGTGGAAAGAGAGAAAGAATTAGATTTGGAAGATATTAAGTTCATTTGCGTTCTTCCTTAACTAACTAGGTCCAGCTTATTTATTTGCTGCATGCCTTAATTAACGTAGCCCCCTCATCAAAATTAAAATCTGAATTTTCAATTATGTCGAAAAGACTTTCTAACTCTGGAGCTGTAGCAATACCTACAAAGCAAAAGTATATTTGGTGTGTGCTTTCTTTAGGTTGCATAGGTGAAATTTGGGTAAAAATCAGCAAATCAGCAACAACATTTTGGAGTAGATTTTTAAATGTTATAGAAGGTAAAATTTTCCAATTAATAGAATTTGTGAAGAAGTAATAATTAATGAGGACGACTTAGCAAACATTTTCCATTGTGATGCAACATGCCCCAATCTGCTATCAACTAACGAATGGCAAAATCTATACTATGATTTCAAATCCAGAAAATATCACTACCAATAGTGATAAAAGTAACAAGAAAATTTTTTATTTTGACAGACAGTATAGTGGGAATTTTTGACATCGCAATTATGGGATTTAAACAAAGTTTCTTTGTAACTGAACAAGTAATTATTTCCAACTATAAAATTAAAGGAAAGTATTAACACATAAAAAAGAAAAAAACTGAAATAACTTATATTGCAGGAAATGTTTAATAAAGTCATAAATACATTTCATAAGCAAATATTTTGTATTTTCAGTTTTATAATTTCTACATGTCATTTTAATAGATTCAAATTGATGATCTAAAACCCAAAATCATCAAAGTCACAATGATTCTGCATCTCATACGTAGTACTCTATTTGCAAATGTATTCAGGATTTTTATAACAATATTAAAGAAATTACAATCTAATGTATATCGAAAAAAAATTTACCAAGAAATAAATCTATATTAATGTATAATTTAAAACATGAAAGAAGAATTAAATGTTGATTTTGATACTTTTGGAAATGCATTTTATATTTACTGATAATAAATATCAGGAACAGAAAAACTTATCTCAGAAAACTATCTTAAAAGTCAAAGTATAATTATGACACATAGGATGCACGTTTCTCTCAGAATAAACAAATAAGCAAACAAAGAGAACAGAAATTCACAAGCTACAAACAAATTTAACAAAGAGTTTGTAATGAATAATTATTTGCAAAGAACAGAGAACAAAATTGAGTTAAAAGAAAGGAAAAGAAAATTACAACACAATTTAACATTATCTTAAAAGCAATCTAACAAAATAGAACTCTTTTTTTGTGTTGTTGCATACAACAATCATTTTGTAATTTTGAATGAATAAATTCAAAAGAGAAAATTTGTTCTAATTCTACTAGTTTTAATCTCAACTACATTCATATAAAATTATTCACAAATGATACAATCTTTGTTTAATATTCCAAATGGTAGCGAAGTAAAGCAAGATTTCAGAAACAGTGTAGTCTGAGCAAGACTTCCAAAGTTCTTCCATGGTGAAAAAAATCCACCAAAAGAAATCAATTTTTACTCACTGCATATCAATATTATAATATCAAATTACCAATCAATTTTAAAATATTGCTACTCAGTTTAAGGACTTTCAAAATTTGTATATTTAGTTTCATTTGGATGTCTCCAATAGTCTTCTATAAATATGTAATGTGTAACTTGCTTATCACACACTCTCTTTACACTCAATAAAGATAATATTCAAATTCGCTGAAATTCTTTTCATATTTTATATATATTAATACCTGTAACTAATACCATTAAAATTTACACACCTGTTCAGCTTTTTGATGAAATAAAACAGAAAGTGCAAGAACAGTTGTTCTTTCATCAAGACCAGCAGCAAATTCTTTCCAAGCTCTGTCAAGACGAGCTGCTATTTGCTGAATTGTAGCTGCTGAGTAATGACCACCTTCAATCAACCTGGATGCAACTGACAGTATTCGATTGATATTGACATACACATTCTGAAAATGAAAAATACATGGGTCAATTTTACACATTAAAATATATGATGAAGATTTTTATACACAGAATATTTCCAGGAAACTTCTTAACTTCAATCCAATTAATCTATTTATACCTTATTTATTTTAATCTAATTATATCCTAAGAATAGTTCTTATTCTTCAGTCAAAAATTATACTCACTTTTTATTACATACTCCAGCAGACATGTTTTCATTTTGAATCATATTAAATCTACTTAAAATATAGGATTTCTTTAGACTAAGAAACAGCATTGAGAAACACTTTTAACTTTATATTCAGAAAAATGAAAAGCACCCTTGTGTTATCCGCCCAACTCTCCCACAAAGTTAGCATTCACTGACAATTAATTTTTCACCAATCTAATGCATGAAAAACATTAAACAATTTTAAAACATGGCAGCCTGCTGAAAATTACATAAAACAGTATTGCATTAATGAAATTAAAAATGCAAGAAACATCCACAATAAAACATTAAATATAAATAAAGCAAATATTCAAAATGAAACAGTAATAAATAAACTAAAATAAAAGCACAACAAACCATCCATAACAAAACACTTAACTATATCAAAATCGTAAAAAACAACCTTATATTTAGCGTAGGTATAATGAAACACTCAATCGATTTAGGGCAGCTAAAGGTCCCTCCTCATCAGGAGAAAGAAATACATAGAAAGAAGAAAATAGGAATCACAGAAACACGTGGTGCTTATCAGCACTGCACGTGGTTATAACTAGATAATGTGCATGTGGTTATAACTAGATCTAGTTATAACCACGTGCAATGCTGATAAGCACCACGTGTTTCTGTGATTCCTATTTTCTTCTTTCTATGTATTTCTTTCTCCTGATGAGGAGGGACCTTTAGCTGCCCTCGAAATCGATTGAGTGTTTCATTATACCTACGCTAAATATAAGGTTGTTTTTTACGATTTTGATTGTCACATTAGCGTGTTTCTCTTCTAGTCTACTTAACTATATGTTTTCTCAGTCTTCTGTCTGTGTGCACAGTGATCCATTTCAATGGTGGAACAAACCATTGAAACATTCAATCCATGGAATGTGCATTCCTGCACTCACTATTAGTAGGCAAAACATGATATTACAGAAAAAATACAATACTTTCTTTTTCATTCGCAGGCACACAGTAGTATTACGAGTTGTTACAAGAAAAAAACTCCACATGCTAATCACAACAAATAGAAACCATAAACACAATTCTTGAATTTCAAAATCTATCATGTGAATTACCATCGAGATAAATGGTAGCATTATGCGCTGGTGTAATGAGCGTGCAACCATTAGTGGGTTGCCAGATAAATGGCTTTTCATTAAATTCTGGACTGTCTACCCTGACAACCTAATTGCTTTGCCGAATGATTCTTATGAAGGTTGGACGGGTAATACAGTAGTACCAAATGACAATAATGAAAGTATATTTTATTCTTGACTTTAACCCTTTATTTGGCACAGCTGCTAACAAGCAACATGAGTTTTCATTATTAGCCAATAAAAGAGTTAAAGGAAAAATTTTTTAATCTACTAAAAACTCAGTAAAATGCTTAATACATAACAGTACAAATGATCAATCTATCTGCTTTTAATACTAATTCATAAGATTTAAAAAATACTTAAGACTGTACTCGTAGTATTACATAAACCATACAAAAGAGGAAATCAACATGTAATAAGGGGACAGTGGACGATGGTTTCAGCAAAAATTGACTAAAAATTGCGAAATAAAAATTTCATGTGATAATATTCTACGGTTTTAACTCTATCATCTACAAAAAAACTGCTTGTGTGTAAAATTATTTTTAAAGATGTTATAAGCATTTGAATATGCTTGTTTACCTTTCTTGTGACATTTAAAGGGACATTTAAATGTCAGTAAAAAGGTAAACAAACATTCGAGAATCATTATTTTAATTTCCAAGACTAATATTTTCCATTATTAGTAAGATATAAATGTGTAAGATATGAAGACAGTAATTTATGCAGATTTGTTTCACTATTCTTCCACGGATGACTCACCCCAGACATTATAAATGCCAAATAGGCGTCATATCATGATGTTTTTTTGTTTTTTTTTCCCCAAGTAGCATTGCCAAAAATAAGAAACCTAAATCTCATTCGATGATAAAAACCAAATTAAGCAGTAGATGTTTTATCCAAAATACTGTCAGTGTATCAAAGACTAGCCAGTAATGAACTTTTAGGAAGATGCATATCTGGAGAAACACAAAAACACCAAAGAGATTTTACAAAGCGTCATTTGAAAGAACTGCCTCAGAGAAACATTTGTATTGAAAACAGACTCGAAATAGCTGTTATCACAGCAATTAGTAACTTCATTTTGAGTATTTAAATACTTTAGGTATGGAATAGGAATATATAAATTCATGTTCAATATCTATTGGGCAAAGGCAAGATACACATCGCATAGACCAATGTAAAAAGAGGTGTTCGTTTGGATACAAGAAAAGAAGAATTGCCAAAACAAACTGTGTAAAGTAGCTAAACATAATGAAAATGTAAATAAGAAAGAGGAAACATATGGTGCAGGAAGTTTTTAAAGTGATTCTTAGTTTTTAAAAAAAAGTACTTAGTTGAATTTACTGAAAGTGTTCAAGAAAATTTCTAAAATAATATTAAGTATTTTTTACCATTCTACGATTTTATTAGTAGAAAAATTATTTATGCATACGTAAAATAATGTTAAAATAATTTACATTAAATAAAATCATATATTAGGACATACTGAGAAGTAAATATTACAGGTATGCGAAAAAATATTCTTAAAATGTATTTTTCACATGATGAAATTTTTGTGATTATTTATTACCTTTTCAAAATGCTCCATGCGCTTTAGTTTATGTTCAAAATGAATGTAATTTGTAACTTAGATTCCTATTTATACATGTAACAAAGCTTAGTATACATTTTTGAATGCAAATATATTAAGGGGATAAAAATCCAATTAAAGTGTATTAAAGTGGGGAATTTTGTCCAAAATTTAGGTATATGTGAAAGAAATATTAATTAAAAACTAACATTTTATGCAATTCACTAATTGATACTAAGTTGTGTTTGTAATGCATTTTCAATAAAAATAAAGCAAAAATAACAAGAAACAGAAAAAAATTAAATTGCATGGAGCATTTTGAAAAAATTTTTAAAAAAATTTTTAAATCAAAAAAAATTAAATTGCAACGAGCCAGAAATTTTTTTCAAAGATATTTGATGTAACTATAATAAAATATACATGCATGCAAAGTTTTACATATCTATGACAATAATTTTAAAAAAAAAGTATTTGAATGTCCACTGTCCCCATAAGACTAATATTTATTAACTGGACATTATAAATGGGAACAATATGTAATAAATAACCATAATATTTTTTTTAAATTAAAGCATGGTTCTTATAATTAATTTTCTTTAATTCTATAGCAATTAAAAAAATAAAAATTTTAAAAATGTATGTGAAATTTCATTTCAGAAAAGACAAAGCTGCAGCTTTGGAAAATGGCCCTTGAAGTTGTTTTGAATCAGCACCTACATTTCAAATATAGGCTCATTAAAAAATACACAATTTGAATTAAATTTAAAATAAAAAAAAAAAAAAAAAAGTTACTTTTTTAGCTTCCAAAACTGGCAACAAATATAGTGTGCATAAAATTATTTCTGCCGCATGACAACTTACCATTTGAGAAAAATGCAAGCAGAAAAGCATTTGGATCTCATGAAGATCAAATCTTGAGCATATATTATGATATCATAAAATTTCTTCTGTTATGAAAATACCACAAACAGAACAAAGCTACAATATTAGAACTATTGGGGAAAGGCAGAAATTATCTGGAGCTCTTCTATTATTGGAACCAGATTCAGAAATATATGTATGCATGTGCATGTATGTGTGTATACACATAAACTGGACATTATAAATGGGATTATAATATATTATAATGGATACAGTTACATGTGTGTATACACATACGTACTTATGTATATACACATGCAGAAACTTGAATACATACACGTATACATACATTTTTTTTTAATCCAGTCCCAATAACAGAAGAGTACCAGCTAATTTAGAGGTCTTAAATAATGCTAGCAAAAGACTGCAGCTTAACACTACAATTACGGTGGTCTTCGTATACCTAGTATTATGGCGGGTGTCATTTTGACCCCTTGATAAGATATCTGTATATTAAGACACCAATAACACGCCGAATAAATACTAATTCAGAAGTCAAACAACAAAATGTTTTTGTTGTTTCATTTCTGAATTAATATCTGTATATTTCTCTATATGATATAATATATTTGTGAAAAAGAAATTAAAATAACGCAAATTATGACAACTACAGTTTATTTTAAAGAATATAGAGACTTTGCAGGTATGTAGTCAAATAGTGAACAAGCATTTATATATTTCCATTAGAAAATGTAAAAAAAATTTTTTTTTTTTTTTTTTTCAATAGATTACATTTCAGAAACACAGAAAATAAAATGTATAAATATTTACGCAAATTTTTCAAAAAAAAGTGGTTTTTACTTCAAATATTAAAGTATTTTAAAACAAACTTTTTGTTATAGAAATACAAAAAATTGAAATATATAGAAATATTTTATTTACAGATAATATATTAGTCAGCGCAGCAATTAGCACACACGCCTATCTTTCTGATTTTTTGTGTACAATATCCGCATACATATTTATTACAGTTGTCGCAAATATTAGAAGTTTTGTTACCTTTGCATTTCCTTACTTGACAATTCTTCCTTTTTTTTATTTTTTTATTCTATTGAATCTTCTCCATCCACAAAGACACTTAAAGAGAGAACAATTTTTTTTTTTTACTAGATATATATTCTTCTCTTAGTTCTTCTGCCAAACGCAATAGAAAATCCCTTCTGCTGATATTTTCTTTTGCAAGTTCCTTATACAGAATCCACATGTTTATGCCTGCTAAGTCCAAAATATTGTAGAATACATGTACTGGACAACGGGCGTGATGGTGCTTTTTTCATGGAGTACTTTCTTGACATTTGATCCAAAACATCTACCCCGAATTTTGTACAATTGTAAAACTGTATTACATCAGCAACCTTCTTTTCATTAGATTCAAATTCAACTGATAAATGGAGTGTGCTTAACAAAATTACGTTTTTTTTCCTTTTACCTTGATATGATGTGTTATATAGTCGTGTTTCATCACAACTGAAGAAAAAGTTCGTTTCTTACAATTTTGAAACTAGAGGGAATTTCTCTTTTTGCGTGATTTACTGTTCCAACATGATTCAATCCTTTTGATTTTAGGGATTTTGTAGGTTTTACTGACGTAAAGAAACTGTCTGTAGTTATATTTCAGCCAGTAATTTTAAAGGATCAACTAAACAATTTACCACGTTCTCTCCTAAACTTTGATCACTTGGTCTCATTTCATCTTTTCCTAAATATGGAAATCCATTTAATAAGTATTTCAAGTATTTTCTACTTTACATACAATTTCATCACTAGCAATTTCTTTACAAGTGTTAGTCTGATTTACGATGAATTTCATATTCCCTTTTGAGCGTCTGCTAGTTCCCGCTTTGGCATTCTTAGGTACGGCAGAATTTGAATTCGTAGAACAAATCCATTGTATTTTACTTGAGCTAGAGGAGATATTGCCTGATTACTCTTTATAATAAATTCAGAATCACAAGATGTTTCATCTCCATCTTTATCTGTAGAATTATTTTCGATTTCAGAACCGGAATTGGCATCAGATAGTTCTTGTATCAGTTTCCCGATTTCTTCATGCATTAGTCCTTTTCTATGCGCCATTAGTACATCACTATAATAAATTCATGTAAATAGAATAAAACTTGTTATGAATAATAAACAAAATATCTATGAAAAATCTACAAATGCTCAGCTCAACGTTCAGCTCCTAATAATCTCTTTTCTCTGTTTTCTTTCCACAAAGAAAAGTATTGCACATATTTCAAATCATGTGACTGGCAGATGTGAAACGAGACAGACCCACCATATTCTTCTCCTTTGTTTGTATTTTGTTTATCAGGTGCAAATAAAAATAGTTTACAGAAGTAAGAATGTTTAGATAATACAATGGAATGTATTCACGTTTCTTTTCTCTCAAAGGGGTCAAAATGACACCTGCCGTATTTCTAGGTATAATCATTTGTCAGGGCTAAAATAAAAATACAATTTTCTTGAAATCTTTACTATTTCGTAAATCACAATGATTTAGGAAAAGTTGAGAAAAGATTAAGATATTAGCGAAAAAAAAGAAGAGCTGTCAGATATAAAAGTTTGCGTCTGCTAGTTCCCGCTTTGGCATTCTTAGGTATAGCAGAATTTGAATTCGTATAAACAAATCCATTTGTATTTTCACTTGAGCTAGAGGATGATATTGCCTGATTACTCTCTATATAATAAATTCAGAATCACAAGATGTTTCCTCTCCATCTTTATCTGTAGAGTTACTTTCGATTTCAGAACTGGAATCGGCATCAGTTAGTTCTTGTATCAGTTTCACAATTTCTTCATGCGTTAGTCCTTTTCTACACGCCATTAGTACGTCACTATAATAAATTCATGTAAATAAAATTAAATTTTCTACTAAAACTTGTTATGAATAATAAACAAAATATCTACGAAACATCTACAAACTTTCAGCTCGTAATAATCTCTTTTCTCTGGTTTCTTTCCTCAAAGAAAAAGTATTGCACATATTTCAAATAATTCGTGACTGGCAGATGTGAAACTACACAGACCCACCATATTCTTTTCCTTTGTTTATATTTTGTTTATCAGGTGCAAATAAAAATAGTTTACAGAAGTAACAATGTTTAGATAATACAATGGAATGTATTCACGTTTCTTTTCTCTCAAAGGGGTCAAAATGACACCTACTGTATTTCTAGGTATAATCATTTGTCAGGGCTAAAATAAAAATACAATTTTCTTGAAATCCTTACTATTTCGTAAATCACAATGATTTAAGAAAAGTCGAAAAAAGATTAAGATATTAGCGAAAAAAAAGAAGAGCTGTCAGATATAAAAGTTTGCTAGGTGTCAAAAATGACCCCTTCCGTAATTCTAGTGTTAAACTAGCAGGAAAGATTGCAGTTTCATCTAGCATGCATTGAAATAATGAAACTATCAAAACAGAAATATTATATTTTTCCAAACTATATTAAAAAACATACTCGTAAGAGGTTGTTTGCCAAAGTGAGAGCTAGATTTTTTATTCTAAGCAATTCTTTGTTGTTAATAAATGTCAAAAAGTTTAGTAATAAATAAAAATTTTTACCCATATCTGAGGAAATAACATAATCAGTCGGGCAGAAATAGCATTAAAGTTGAAAAACTGGACACAAATGTTGTAAAAACAATACATTAAACACTATCTAATGTTACCCTTCTATTTTAATCTTTTTTGGCAAACAAAAAAACTCTCTGCCATTGCTAAGCTGGTATTATATGATCTTACGTGATTACCTACCTATCTCCCTAAAAAGTTGACTAAAAGAAAAGTATTTTAAAATAAGTGAAAAAAAAAATTCACAAAACTGATCAACACGCAATTCTTAAAAAGTGGAAAATCTTTTAAAAAGTGGAAAATACTTATGATAAATGTTATATAACTGCTGATTGCTTATATTCTAAATTGATGATTATTGTAACATATAATTTAAGTTTCATACTATAAATATAATAAATGTCATACCATTGATGACATGGTAAAATGGTTGTGTTCTTCTTGCAATTCTTTTGCTTCTTGATATGTTACACCAATATCAACATAACTGACCAGAAACAAATCTCGATTGTGATAGATCCAATCAAACATCTATAAATAAGATTAAGGATATACTGTAGCAAATTACATTAACAAATTTTAGTTTTCTTACATAAAATTCATACCTTATAAACCTGGATATCAAGCATCTATTAAAGTCAAGAAATATTAGGAAGTTTCAAAAGCATCCAAATTAAAGAAAATATACATACATATTTGGTTAATTAAATATTTATATTTTGAATTTTATAAGTAACATAACATTACTCATTTAACAATATATTTTGAATATCCTTTATGACATTAACTTTCTCCAGGGTTGCCACTCAAACAGGAGAATGAAATTCCCTGACTTTTCCAGGTTTTCCAGGTGTGTTTCAAGAAAATTCCAGTCTATCCGGCGTAATGTATGTTGGCTACTCTAAGAGGTAAATTAATTATGGTATTACTTGTATTGTATAGCAAATTCACTTAATTATTCAATAAATCCCAGAGGACATTTATTCTTAATTATTCTTGGTATAATTTGTTTGATAATTTTGTTTACTTTTCCACTTAAGAAGCTTAATAAAATTTAAAATATATACATTGGATAACAATTGTATGTTTTATTTAATTGTTACTCATGATCATCGCCAGTTCAATACGAGGTTAATCCGGTCCTTATAAATTACAATGCAATGCTAAATAGTTAGCTTAGATTTTAGACAAATTTAATTTGTGTGAGGTGTCTTCTTAAAAGGTACCTTAACACTTGAAAACCAAATAATTATAATAGTTGCTGTTTTCTCCATTGAAGATTGAGATTAGAATCTTCCCAATCTGGAATAAATAAGGCTTTTTTTTGCAGCATTCTGCAGCTAAACGAAAAAGAATCTATTTTAATAAATTGAGATATTTTATTTTATTTTGCAGCATACATGAGGAAAAATATGTGCATTAAATTTTGTGATGGTATATCATACTGCTAGAATTATTTCAAGATTATGCTAGAGAAATTTCCTGAAATTTGGAAATATTTTACTAATAATAAATAAATTTAGAGGGAAGACATCATTAAATTATACAAATAACATAAAAATAAAGATAATTACTTAAAATGAATTAGAATAATCAACGATATTTTAGCGAATATAGTTATATTACATGGTTAGCCTAGATGAGAGATTACTATTTTTTATTTTACTGCAAAAAGGCAAGGTATTTATTAAAAAGAAAAAAAAAGTTTAAAAAGATTATGCGGTAAAATTCTAGTATACGGTAAGGCTTTGGCACGATTTTGAAAATTGTCGCCAAGACCAAAATGACCCGTTTAGCGCATCATCATGTCGCCAAATCCCATTGTACTATATATGGAGATTATTCTAACGAAAGAACGTCTATGCAACGAATCTCTAATTCTTTGGTCTATGTAAAGAAGAAAGGTTCCATACAAGTAAAATGCTATATGCCGCTAGAATGCGGAGAGAAAATTGCCAAGGGATTTGGCGACGGAACCTGGCGGCCAGAATTTCCCTCTCCGCGATGTGTACCGAATTGAGAAACGTGTTAAGAAGAAACGTTCTTTGACAAAAAGAAAGCTACGAAATCAGTTTTTAAATTATGCAAAAAATCCAAGACGAAACGTTTATCAAAGGACTTTCTTCTTGGATTTTTCGCAATATTTTAAAAAAGGATTTTCGTAGTTTTTTTCCCCTGAAATTACTAACCGTGAATTAATTTACTTGCGCCAAAAATTTTCTTTTCTTAGAGTTAACCACTGCGCTAAGACTAAACTTCACGGTTGCGGTGCAGTGGCTACAGTATACAAGCGGTAAAGTGTCTCATTTACACCGCTCCGCATCTGCGAGTGCAATCAGAGCTGTAACTAGAGAAATAAACAATCTCGTTGTTAGGCGACGTGTACACCATGTTATTTTCATTTTTGTGATAAATGCTTATCGACGTTATGTTCACGTCGCTCGCAGTTTGGGACAAAAACATCTCGACATGCGTGGCACCTCTTTTTAGCGCAAGTGGTTAAAGAAATTTTAAAGGATATTCATTTAATGAACTCTTGATAATGTGACCTTCGAACTTCGACACCGGTTTCGAGCTTTGGCAGCAGATATATCACACATGCACAGCTGCTTCCCTCTATGATGGAACGGAGCCACGTCTGCTGCAGAGAGGTTTTCCTTCTTCACAATACATATTCTTTGATTCTAACCTCCATGGTACCGTATACTAAGATTAAACCCATTTTGTTTTATACGAGAACAGGTACTTTCTTTAGTTCATGTACTGCACATGCGATTCTTGAGAATACTGGAAACAAAAGTTGCAGGAAACTTGCTTTGCTTTCTAAAGACATCAATTGGAGCTGCGAAATGGCTCTAGCCAGCTGCCCGAATGACACTCACGTGATACGCAATTCGCCAAAAAAGTTATCTCCTCCAACGTCGGCGCAAAAATCGCTTTTTTTTGGCGGGATCATTGTATGAACTTCCCTGACTTTTCCAGATTTTGACAAAAATACTTAAATTCCTCGACTTTTCCCCGAATTTTTTGGTCAATTTTCGAATTTCCTGACTTTTTCTGCTTCTCCCGCTTTTCCAGGTAGCGTGGCAACCCTGTTTCTCTAATGAAAGAATGCTAAAGAAATTGACATTTCATTTATCAGAACCAAACATTCAGGCCGCAGAGCATAAGGACCCCCCCCCCACGCAAGCAACATAGTCTGGTTTATCCTGTCCAGGTATTAAACAGTAGATTTTTAATCTACAAATTGGACTAATATTTCTTCAGCCTTATTTTTCTGAGTGATCATGCATTCGTTCCAATCTCCAAGAAAAGGTTAAAAGTAAAAATTGTTACAATGAACAAACATAATGTAAAACTGTTATTAAAGCCTTATCCATACAAGACATACAACTGTTTCCTTACATTAAAAAGTTAAAATAATACTCAAATTTTCTTCCTAAGCTGAAACTAGATCAAAATGAATAAAAAAAGGAGAGGGGAACAAAACATTTTTGTAGATCTTATATTTTCTCCATTATTTAATTATGTGACATGCATTTTTTTATTATTATTGTATTAACAAAAGAAAATATACTCTGATATCTTATTCAGTGCATATTTTGTATTTTCAGAACTGCAAAACCAACCAAGAATAGATTCGAAACTATTATGGTCAATTGCGCTTTAATTGTGACAATTTTATTAGTATCTTAGAACACTTCAAAGTGACCTATGAATGAAAATTGTTGCAAGCAGACACATTAAATCAGGAATGCATTTAAACATTCATATGCCTATTATTTTAAATATTTAACAAATAGATGGATAGGTATTCGACTAATGGCAAGGAATACCAGAATTTGCAACATTTTGTTATTAAATATGACCAAGAATAAATAATTAAATCCCAAAACTTTTAAATTAAAAAATGTATTCAATTTGCTAGACTGAAATCATATTATATGGATAATAACATTCATACTAAGAAATGCACTCATGTTAGATTTTGTATTTATTGTATTATAAATGAGAGTCACATTAAATAGTTTAAATTTGATGTAACCCTTCTCAGTGGATTTCCATGTACCTTTTGAGCATCCTGTTCATATAATCGAAGTTGCAAACACTGATCAAGTTTAACCTTTCGAATGTGCCACAACTGTAGTAAGTGTTGCCTAGTAACATGAATATTCTCTAAGAGGTGAACAACTTGAGGAACAGCACTTTGAAAGTCCACATTTCCAGCCATACCGGCAGGTCCACTATCCCTACTAGAATAACCAGAATCACAAGACCCTCCACTATTGCCTCCAGTTGCATAACTTAACCTGAATATAAGACACTCAAATTAATATATCATTAAATAAAAAATAAAAAAACCAAAGTTTTCTACTGTTGCATGTTTAAAGAAAAAACTAATATAAATATCCTTACTTATGAAGCACTTGTTGCCCTTCTAGATCTATATCTTCAACAGGTACTTGAACAATTCTTTTCTTTAATGCTGCATGATCATCAATCATTGCTTTTGAGGAAGAAACATCATCTGCAAATTCATTTCTGGTAAGATCTTCCTTTACATTTTCCATTCGCCCAAGTAAGTCACTTGCCTTCCATGTAAAATTTTCTAGGCACTATATAAAATATCAGTATGTTTATTTTATTCAAAATGACAAAATAATATGCAAATTGAAACGATTAAAATCAAAATCCTATTTTAAAAAATTTTAATGTTTTTTTCTAGTTCATATCCTGCAATAGCGAAATATTACATTTTATTTTTATGAACAGTAAATACATAACATACTTATCATCTAAATTTTACAATAATAATATATCTTCTTGGATTTTTCTTCTTTACATATTTTCAAAATTATTTAAGAAACAACAGTATGCTATGCCCTTCCCCCCAAAAAATTACTGACAACAATTATATAATTATTTATCTCCAGCCTAATACTAACAGTGTAGTTATTGAATTGATACAACACCCACCCACCCACACACACACACACACACACACACACACAAAAAAAAAACTGATAATATATATAAAGTACTTTATATTGACCCTAAATTACAATAATTCTTATTTAAAAATAATTTATGCTCAAAGTTCTACAAATATAAGAATGCCTATACTGTAATTAATTCAAAGATACAACAGCTATCATTTTAGCATTTCAACACTTGACTGTAGATTTCTAACATATGCAATTTCAGCAATGAATAAATATTTACCATTCGAAGTTCAATCCAGAGATTGTGATCGTATGATAAAGTTCCCTCTAAATCATTAGTAAGCTGAGAAGGATCAATATACTTTGATAGTGTTTCAACAGATATCATGCTAGTCTGCAATAATATAAATATTTTTGTCATTTAATGAAACTGTTGTGATAAAAAGAAAGATGCAAAAAATTTATATACATAACAATTAAATATAATGAAACTTTTAGATCTACAATCATTACACAATAATTAGAAATTTTAAAATATTATTTAATTGTTCAAACTGATTAGCTCTAATGAATATTGCTTATATAAATGCAAAAAATTCTGATCTTTTACAAATAAATAATTGTGCTTTTTATAATTTATGTACATTAATTAAAAATGTATGTTCAACAAGAAAACTGTATTCCTAAATTTCTATAAATAATTAAATCCATTTGATTGCATTAATGTTTGGTACTTATGTATTAGAGCAACCACTCTGGCGTAGTTTGGCAAATTTCAAGGAGGGAGAAAATTATTTTTTGTTGTAAAAAATTATTTATTATATATATACATGTTTTACGTTTCAACTATGTATTTATTCCGAAAAACAATACATAAAATTTTTAAAAGCTAGCTTTTGTTTTTTCTCTAGTGGACTATATATAACTATGTATTTATTCCGAAAAACAATACATAAAATTTTTAAAAGCTAGCTTTTGTTTTTTCTCTAGTGGAAATTTTATGCCCATTGCTTTGTGAAGAGATTCAAGAGAGACCGTGAAGAGGTTCAAAGCACTGTTATTTTGAATATTTTGTAGCAAAATACTAAATTCCTGCAGAAATTACACCTGACTTTCTTCGAATGCCAACAAAACTCACAAACACATACTTAAAAATAAAATTCAAGACAAAAAATAATTACAATTTGTCCATAAAAACCATTAGAATTTGAAACACAACAACAAAAAAAGGGGGAGAAAGAAAGAAAAAGAGAGGAGGGGGGAAAAAGAAGAAATGCATACCTGTATAGCAATGCTGGTTGTTAAAACTGAAGAACTGTCATGCCCATGAGTGCTTGAAGAATTGCTATGTGCATAGTTGCCAAAATTTCACGCATTCTGAAACTTTGGCAATTTCTACAAATGTTGCTGTGATAATATGTTAAGTAGCAATGTTCTTGTGTATTGTAGTAATGTTGTATATTGTTTTATTTATTTATTTGAACAATTTTTGCATTTAGGGTAAAAATTTTTGAAGGAATTTTTCTGTAGTTGAATTTGTGGCCATGTGCTAATGTAAATGCTTATTTCTTGAACTGAACTGTAGATTTTGTGATTCTGATTCCAGCAATGTTTAAATTATGAAACAATTCAAATCTAAAACAAGACTTGGGCAAAAATCACTGATAGGCTTTAGTGGTTTCATCACAAATTTAATGATTTTCTGGAAGTTTCTGGAAAATACATTTTCAAAGATCTACGAAACAATTTTTCCAAAAGTTTTCAGAAGGCCTGATGGTACCATTTAAATACGTCTCTGGTAGCCAGCAATCTATCAGTTCTGGGTGATTTCAGAAAGATTGTAGATCAATGAAACTTAGCTGAAGTATCTTTCAGAGTTTGTTCTGTGATTGATATTGGTAATTAATACTTCTTGCACATTAAGACCCATCTACATGAGACAATTTGCTCAATGTCATAGAAAAGTCTCCCTTATAGACGTGTCCTGGCAGCATTTTTGTCCATAAAGGGCAATTAGGTTTTTAAGTTGCTCTGAGCTTCTAAGCCAGTCAGAGAAGCAGATTATGTGATTTTTATCATTCATCAGAGCTCCTGACAACAAAAGTCCTGTCTGAACAAATATAATCATTTGCAAAGTTTTTCATACTTTTACTTTTCAGGGTAAATTTTTAAAAAAAAGTTGCAATAATAATAATTAACAATAAACAGACAGAAAAAAAACAATGATAAAAAAATCCCCAGAAAAAGACAAAATATGAAAAATAAACAAAAACTGCAAATTAAAAAATAATAAAATTAGTGAAGCAAGAAAGCAGTAAACTGTGGTACGTAATGCATACGTGTATTATGTTCTGTAATGAAGAATAAACTTGGAAGTCATATATATGCAATAAGACACAGGCATAGCAAATTTAACCAATATTTCTTTTTTGTAATTAAACATTTTCCAGCCACAAATAATTTGCAACATTAACTGTGCTTGTTCCAAAAGATAACATTTATATTTTTGGTACCATTGTGGCAAGAATAAATCTGCACAGCAGTGTTTTAGCAGCAGCAGAAGCAGCAAATTGCATAGGTATTCAACATGGAAACTTAGTTTAAAAGAAACATTTCAGTTCAGGAAATTTTGAGTCGATGTTCCAAATTAGATATGTCATCATCGTTATGGAAAGGATGGAAGGGGAAACTATTCAACTTAAATTAGGAATAAAGGGGCTATTCCTAATTTAAGTTATATATATATATATATATATTAACTTACATATTTCCTCCCTTTGAAAGAGAAAAGGGTTAGCAAGAAATAGAGAGAAAAAGCCAATACATCAGCAAAAGAGAAATAAAATTTTGGAAAAAATCATAAATAATAATGATGAATTTGATCTAAATCATCTTCAAAAACTATTATAAATATTTTTAATATAACATTTTTAATAATATATGCAAGCTTTAGAGTCTCATTGATATATTTCAGTCCAATTTTAAAAGGTTCTTATTTTTGGAAAGTTCACATGATGATGACGATTCTTCAGGGAAGGTTTTTTAAAAATTTTGCAAGGAATATCACAATTATAAAAATTTTATATATTCATTATTTACTTTGAATAATCATAACAAATCTCAAAATTTTGTACTATAACTATAATTTTGTATTTATGCTTGCATTTTAACATCACTTGTAAATAGGATTACTGAAATTATAGTTTTACAGTTACTTTTACATTTCTGTACTTTTATTTTATTTATATAATTTTTATATTAACAGAATTAAAGCAACACTAAAACAATTGTTTTCAGTGATAAAAATAGTTAGTTGCTCAGCTGGATTTGAACTCCAACCTGATAGTCTATGCAAAATTTAACATTACAGAAAGGGTGCCAAGCAAGCAATCAAGCTAGCTAGAAACAATCTCAAATTTCAAAAGTCACTAATATAAAATCAGAAATATGATCAAGTGCAGATAAAGAATAAATTAGGCTTTTCTTATTTGTCAGATTTTTCAGATCATAAGAATATAACGATCACCTTAAACAGGAAAAAATATTTTAGCACATTTAGCTAATAAATGAGGTTAGTTGGTTGGTTTATTAGATTACAACAAAGCACTCGAGGGCTATCTGCCTTAAGGGAGGGATGCCTTCGTGGAGGATTTTTTAAGGGAAACTGGCTCATATACACATTACACATCGGGAAAACCACGAAAACACCCATGCAGCCAGCCCGTTCGCAGGATTCGAACCTCGGACCGAATTGCCAGTGTTCAGCGACGTTACCGCTCGGCCGCTGGTGGGCAATAAATGAGGTTAGAAAATACATCACTATAAAGTTTACAATAACAAATCATTTGCTTCAAAGTGAAAAATACGTATTCTATCATTTATAAAGAAATCGATCAAAAATTATAATCCAAAATAAATGCCTCTCATAAATTAAGTTTGTTAAAATAACAAAAAGGCCAAACAATTTGAAGCATATGTTATTTAGTAAGCAGAATGCTGATTCAGTAGCCATCATCGCTTTTTGGATATGTGATTTCCATAATGAATATTGCTGGCTGTCACCAAATAAGTCTCCAATAACACTGCACACCATCATGGCTTCTGGCACATGCACCGAAGACTGTTTCCCCATGCAAACAGACTGGTGGAGGTGCTGCAGACATAAAAAAATGCTAGTTTAGATATATGTCCCGTTATGTATAGTATGAACCTTTAAGAACATTATCTGCATTCTCTTTCAGTTATTTACAGCTATTTATTTTGTTAAATATTAAGTACAATAAATTGCCAATTTCTTCCTACTCATCTGTAATGATTATTTGAAGAGACATCCACAAGCCTGTACTTAACAACAACTGGTGCGAAAAATAGGATTTTCTGCGAATGCCAATAATCCAAAAATGGAAAACGGGTGTAAAAAGTTTAAATTTACTTCAATTACATTTACATTTAAATTATTTACTTCAATGACATGTATTAATAACACTAATTTATAACTAATTAGTATTATAAAATTTCTTACTTCAAACTTATATTTTGCACTGCCCATACTTGTGCGCTGCTTCTGCCAAAAATTTTCAGGCTTAATGATATATGCAGTATGAATTTTGATGGGAAAAGCTTCCTATAAGAAGAAAAGTTATGTAAACAGTTTAATAATGATTTTTTTAAAATTACCTTCTGAACAAAGAATATGGTATTTGTTATTTGATATTGTGATAAATGTACTACAAAATTCATTAATTAGAAATACACACACACATAAATACATTTATATACATACACATAACTACATTTATATACATACAGAAAAAATGGCAAAATTTTCTCTCTCATTATTTAGATATTACAGTACAAAGTAAGAAATCCGGACTTGTCAGGACTTGATTTGGGATCTTTCTGGATATTAGATCATCAGTTTAAATCTAGTACGATGGCATGTAGAAATTATAAAATTAAAAATATGAAATAATGAAGTATTTATGATCTAAAGGGTATCAAAATTTACAAAAAAAAAAAAATAATGTTTATCTGTTTACTTTATCAAACGTTTCCTTCAATGTAAGTTATTTAAGTTGCTCCGTTTTTTCTGCTAATACCTTTCTCTTTAATTCTGCAGACAGACATATTTTCTTGTTCAATTATATTGTTGGAAGTCCTGTACCTGCTATTTCGAGAATTCCGACTAACTTGTACAATCAAAATTTTCTCGTTTCCAGTAACTTCTCTGTCACTTTCTTAAGTATTGGTAGCAGTATTTTCTGGATCTAGAACCATATTACAGATTTTTCGCCATTCATTAATTGACTGATGATCGAGAGGCATTGTCATCACAATAAAAAACTTTTTTTATATCATCTTGATTTATTACCTCTTCTCCACATTTCTACACAAAATTCGTTAATTGGAAAATTTCACCTTTGTTTTGCAATATCCGAAAACCTTTAAAATTAGCGGCTATCATCATCAAATTTAGCTATCCTTCACTATACATATTTGGCTTTGCATCATGAGCTTGGCAACTAATGAAAAGTTGCTCCGTTAAATTTTATCTTTCTTCTGTTGCGCACTGAGACAATTAAACCTGAATTGTATTAGTTTAGTTATTTTATTATACTTATGCCTATTTCTTGCACATGCTTATCAGAGTTCTGAATAAATTCCCACATATACTTAAGCCTTATTGAGGGCCGGCACTAGAGATCTTACCGCCTGATGATTCTAAATTCTTCAACTTCGTGTGGCCAAACAAGCCCTGGCGCTGGTTCTGGGTTTATGTGAATAACAAATCAGTTATTCTTAAATCAAGCTGCCATAAATGTAATCTTTGGGTCTATGAGTATCATTAACAAAACTTATTTTTAGCGTACGGAAAGAAAGTTTTGGTAAATTTTTCCTAGTCATCATTTTAGCGCATTTAACAACTTAAATCTGTAATCATCGCCAAACGTAATGTCAACATAAAAGGTTATCATACTCCTTTACTAATCGTACAGACTTATGCTAAAATGTTTGTTTCTTGAATAACAAGTTATTTTATTTAGTGTCGAAGTGGAATTAAGAATTTGATCTCTCCAGATGTTTTATTATGCATGGAAAGGGTAATCAAATGTGCATACGTAAAGCCTAAGAGAAAAACATTGTTGGTAGTTGTGTGGTCCGGATTTTAGATCATTCCGGATAATGGACGTCCGGATTTCGAACTTTGTAATGTACTAAATTATGTAGCTTGACTTTCTAATCAGGATGCTACTTTGATTTCCAAATATTAATGAAAAATCACTAAAGCAGCAATAAATCATTAAGAAATAAGTCAATCAGTATCTAGTATCTAGTTTAATTTCTAACTACTTTTATTCTGTAGAATAGCTTCAATCGATTTACTAAGTTGTTTCATTAAGTCCCAGCCCCCCCCCCCAAAAGAAAGTTCAGATAGCTTAAAAGCCTTAAAAAAGGCCTTGTTTTTTCCACGTCAGCTCTTCTTCTGATAATGGATGTTTGAATTGTTTATTTTGTAGGTTGTTTGGTTTTTAGACAAACAAACATTTTTCTTCGTTATTTTGATTTCATTTAATGCTGCTATATAATTTTCTTGGTTGTTTTTCACATCATAATATCTTTCAATTAAATAATGTCATGCGATCACTTTATTTGAAAAATGATACAGACAAAAAAAAATATATGATGCAAAAGTGATTTGGGAAAAAAAAAAAAAAAAAAAATTAGCATTTCGAGACTAATAGCTCTTTTGGGTTAAAACTTTAAAAATGAGACTAAAACCTACCAAAATTTAGGATAAAAGATAATGAACTTAATTTATATAAAATTCAATTTGGTTACCAGCTTTAAAAGCAACAAAGTTAAACATTGATACCATCAGTTTTGATGCACAGTTAAAATAATTCAAAATACTGTTACATCTAAAACAATAAATAACTCATTATTCTATCATCATTTAACTGCAAATACTAGTCAAAATTATTATCTCAGCATCTGCAGCTTGGAAACAAATGTCACAATTTCAAGAAAATTTGAATTAAGGAAACTATGATCCATTTATGAATCAATACATAAAAACCACTTCAGAAATCTGGTAGTTCATCAAAAATGTAATTTAGTTAGAAAGAAATTAAAATATTCTAACAAGAGTATTTATTCTTCATGGGTTACTAATTTAAAATACGATGAATCCTTGCTGACTACCCCTACCTTTCAGACTATTTTTAGTCTTATGGAAATGGTCATCTTTTGATCAGAAGAGTATTTGACGATGATTAACAATTTTCGTTATAATCCGGACTCAGGACTTTGGTGATTCTGCATTTGGGATTTTTCCGGATATTAGATCATCAGTTTAAATCTTGTAAGATGGCATGTAGAAATTATAAAATTAAAAATATGAAATCATGAAGTATTTATGATCTAAAGTGTATCAAAATTTTAAAAAAAATTTATATTTATTTGTTTACCTTATTAAACTTTTCTTTCAATGTAAGTTGTTTAAGTTGCTTCGTTTTTCTGTGGTAATACTTTCTCTTTAATTCTGTAAACAGATATAATTGCTTGTTTAGTTACATTGTTGGAAGTCCTGTACCTGCTGTTTCGAGAATTCTGACTAACTTGTCAATCGAAATTTTCTAGTTTCCAGTAACTTGTCTGTCACTTTCTTCAATATTGGTAGCGGTATTTTTTGGATCTAGAACCATACTACTGATTTTTCCATTCATTAGTTGATTGATGATTGAGAAGCATTGTAATCACAATGAAAAACTTCTTTTATATCACCTTTATTTATTACCGCTTCTCCACATTTCCTTACAAAATCCATTAATTGGAAAATTTCACCTTTGTTTTGCGATATCCGAAAACCTTTCAAATTAGCAGCTATCATCATCAAATTTAACTATCCTTCACTAAACATATTTGGCTATGCATCATAAGTTTGGCGACTAATGAGAAATTGATCTGTTAAATTTCATCTTACTTCTATTGCTCATTGAGACAATTAATTGTATTAGTTTAGTTATTTATTATACTTATGTCTATTTCTTGCACATGCTTAAGGCTTATCAGAGTTCTGAATAAATAAATTCTCACATATACTTAAGCCTTATTGAGGGCCAGCACTAGATATCTTACCACCTGATGCAGTCTCTGTGGGTTCTAAATTCTGCGACTCGGCACAGCCATACGAGCCCTGGCACTGGTTCTGGGTTTATGTGAATAACAAATCAGTTATTCTTAATTCAAATAGCCATAAATGTAATCTTTGAGTATCATCAACAAAATCTATTTTTAGCATATGGAATAGAAATTTTTGGTAATTTCTTCCTCATCATTTTTTAGAGCATTTAACTTAAATCTGAAATCATCGCCAAGTGTAATGTCAACATAAAAAGTCACCATACTACTTTATTGTTCAATTACCAACATAAAAAAAAATTTTTTTTTAGGCATCGCTACATGAGTCATTACTCAAGTTATCATGTTTTGATAAACATGCGGTGATGAAAGGAAAGTATAATATATAATAATTTGGCAGGTTGGCGCCAGATCAACGATGTATCTATGTGGAATGTTTCTGTTTGAGATGTATGCCAGGTAGATACGCAGCTACGGAACCAAATTATTTATCACACAAATTTATGCTAAAATACTTGTTTCTTCAATAACAAGGTATTTTATTTATTGTCGAAGTGAAATTAAGAATCGAGACTCTCCAGATGTTTTATTATGCACAGAGGGAGGAATGAAATGCACATGCATAAAGCCTACGAGGAAGAGATTGTTGGTGGTTTTGAGGTCTGGATTTTAGATTATTCCGGATAATGGACGTCCGGATTTCGGACTTTGTATTGTATTAGTTTACTAATACTGCTACATTAACCCTCTGAGCAGCACAGGTTTTTGGATTTGTCATGAAAACCTGTATTTATGCAACATTTATTAGCTAAATTCATATATTTACTTATTTTAGCCTCCATTTTTCATAAACTTACATTCATTAAGATTACATTACATTATTAAAGAAAGCCTTAAAAAAATCAAATATCTGATAGCAAAATATCTGAAGTTTGGTCATGCCCCTTAGACGGTTAATAACATTACAAATTAACATACAGATAAATAGCAAATGATACTGCAGTAGGAACACCTAAAATGCTTAAAATACTACAAGTGAATATTTTAAAATATGAAATATAAGTTATAAAATTTATATTTTTAAATTATTAATAATTTGATTTGTTTTTAACATGCACAAATATGTTAGTAATTTTTAGGCTTGTATTTAAAATAATCATACATTTTAAAATATATTATCTTTAAGTATTAATAACATTTTGAAATATGTATGTAGACTGTTTTATGAGTAAACAAAAAAATTATAAATTTTGTTCACAGATTATTAAAATATTCATTCAATGAAATGTGTCTACTTGATTATTTTCATTTCACTAAACCCTTCCTTTTCCTAAAAAGGTTGGAAATGCACGGAGTAGATTAATCTTATAGCCATTGATCATCAATTTACACTTTTCTGCCAAATTCCATTACAGAAGGTTCACATTATCTTCAATAACTTCAAACTAGATTTCTAAAATTAATATTCTAACTATGTGTTTTACAAACATCTTGATCTATGTTTATTGAGAAAATCTAACGGAAGGTTAATAACTTTAAGATTAATGAAATTTTAAAAAAATCATACACATACATGGTGCATCTATTAAGTTTTAGGGTTTATTTTATTTTAATAAATTCCAGCAAACTTCCCAAATAATAATTGACAGTATTTATTACTATAACATCTCATCTTGATTTCTCCAAAACATCATTGCTTACAAACAAAATTTTCTATGCAGTTAATAATTTGCTTTGATTCAGAGAGAGGTAGAAATGGGCGGAATACCAAAATTTCACTATTGGTCATACAGGTATAGTTCTGCTGCACTAACTGTGCAGTTCGGCCCCAGTTCTAAGGGAGAGCACCCCAAGGTGTGGTTAAAGAGTCTCCCACTCTTCTTCCTTTACCACCAGCTTTCCAGCAGGACTTTCAACTCACCTTGTATTCCAAGCACCCCCTTGCTGCACAAACACTATACACATGCATGCACCCATACAGTCTCTGAGATTCGAACCTGGGCCCATTGGTATGATCACAGTCAGCATCACTAACCACTATACTGGCTGCAACGCAAAACCTGTGTTGGCCGCATTTCTACTTTGATCCAAAAAAAATCTACTGCCTTGGATTCAAAAGCTAAGCAAACAACAGCAATAAAGTTTTGTTGTATAGTGAGATAACACAGTCCAAAGTTTTATATATATATATATATGGCCAGTTTCAAGATAGATGCGAAGATGCTGATGTTAATCACTCTTAGTAATTTCAAATAAAAAAGAACATTAAAAAAAATTCAAAATTTCATTGCTGAAAAATAGTCAACAGTCTCTCTGCATGATAGCTTTTGTGCTTGACATTGCTCACAAAACTGTCATGGAACAGCTTGAAAAAAGAAAATTTATTCTCACGCTCATATATTGACAGTAAATCAGAAAGATTGTATATATGTATTTTATGATTTAATTTAAATGGCAGACAGTAATCCTGAATTTTTTTTAATAAATTGTGAATAAAACTGAAACGATATTTTGCTTGTGATCCTGAGATAAAACATCTGCTTTGGTTGGAGATGGTTCACCACAGTCGCAGAAACTTTGCCGTTTCTTATAAAAATCTTACACAGAAACGGAAATCTTATATAGATCATATTGGTGATCTTTTTTTCACTTTTTGCTACTAAAGAAAGTAAAACTGTACGTTACAATAAATTGCTTTATTTTAAACCTTCTTCTGATTTCACAGTTATTTCTCTAGAAGATTCAGATAAGGCAATAAGTCGCCTGACTGTCTAAATGGAGCCAGAAGTTAGCTTAAAATACACAGATTTCATATATCATTAGAAACAAATTTTTAACATCTGATGAATGATCATCTGATGAACTATCATCAAACTTTCCACATTTGTATCCTTTGGATACTGCCCCAAGTATTATCTGTTTCTTTTATTTAAAAAAAAAATTCTCTCTGCAATCAAAGATTTAGTTCGGAAAATGACACGATAATATACTATAAATGTTATTTTGCTCGAAAATCACAAAATTTTAGTAAGATGCCATTATGTAGCTTTTGGAGATATGAATTAAAGTAGCAGAGCAGAATGGATTACCCATATTTCAGAAATAAACATAAAAAATAAAACATCACATATTCTTTACTTACTAATACAATAATAGGCTTTTAGGACAACCTAACATATACTCACAAAATTATTTCTTTGTGTCATTTGAATAAAGGATTATTACATACTTGTAAAACTTTCAAAATGGGTTTGACAGTATTCCATGTAGTGCCTCTCATATCAATGACAACTGAGAAACCCAAGTCAGCTGCTTCTTCACTAAATATGGTAACAAAAAAAAATATCATTAGCTATTTTGTTTTAAATTAATTGTAATTGCATAATAACTGCTGAAAAAATTCATAGGGAAAATATAAAAATTTTTTACAGATATATAATTTAATATCACAATAATATTTATACACAAAAACTGTATTTACATATCACGTATCCCCTCCAAAAATATACATATCAACCAGTGATAGTTGCATCATCCTTATAACCATCTAACTCCATCATTTTCAATGTCCAATCCAAAATTTCATCACATATATAAATCAAACTCACGGATATGTTTCTAAATGTTGCATGTTTCTAAATCACAGACATGCAAATATGTTTCTAAAAACTATTTTAAAAAGTCTAACATTTCAGTTTATTTACCTTTTATTTAGTCCACAATTTTTTTTCCTCCATGAATAACTGCACAATTTTAATGAATTCTGTTTTTACCTTTAAATTGTTAGCATCAATATACCACAGCTTCTAACCAATTGTCCAAAATTCCATGTTTTTTTATACTATTGCCTCACTCTTTGTACCCATTTTTGATTCATCAGACTATAAAATTTCTTTATCAACAATCTGGTTTCAATTTTAGATATGTTATTCCAGAACCACATTATTCACATGTGGTTTAAGCAACACCAATACCAGAAACTATGGCATACTGAGCATAATATAACTTTTTATTAATCCCAGATAGAGAATTTCAGTAAAATATGCTGATTATTGAATTTCTAAAATATGTTTAAAATGCACTTAATAGTTCAGCATTCTGTTATTTACATCTTCACCAAAGAAAAACACAAAAAGTGTGACAGACCTTAAATAAAAATAAGGCAAGAAAATAAATAAAAGGGAGAAGCACATGGCAAAGGTCCAATAACCTACTTGAAACACAAATTTCATAAAAGCAAACATTATCATTAATCTACCACAGATTTTTTTACTTTTTTAATTAGTAATTTTTATGTGGTAAGGTTATTTTACTGTTCCAGAATGAATACTGCATAATAATCATATTTTTGAAACTCAATACAGCATGATACAGATTATTTTCTAATGGATGCAAAATATTGATTGCTATTTGAGTTATTTAAAAAAAACTCGCTTTTAAAAGATACTGCCACAGCCAAAAACACATAACTAATTATTTAACGATTTTATAAGAAACAATACATAACTTGTTTTATAGCAAAGCATAAAACATAATGAATATTTCTTGCTTTAAAAACCTTCATAATAATCATATCAATACTTTTACAGCATTAATAAATCAGTCCTATGTTTGTTGCTAATATAAATGGATATACTATAATAATATGCAAATAATGAATAATATGCAAATAGTTATTGCATAATCACTTTGTATATTTCTCTCACTTTTCATAGAGAATAAGGGTGAAAATTAATGTTCCATTCTAATCAAAATCATTACGGATATCAATCTCTTAAATAAATACCTAGTAAGATAATTCAATATAGTATGATTCCTTTAACATATTTCACTTCCTTTATGCTTTAGTGCAGAACATATTTTATTTTCAAAAAAAAAAAAAAAAAAAAAGTTTAAAAAAAAAAAAAATAGTTTTATACTTTTAAATTTTATTTTAGATAGTTCAATTTTATTTCAAATGGAACATGATTAAAAAGATTAATCTTTTTATTGGAAGTGTGCTTGCTTTAGTTTTTAATTGCAAAACAAAACTTTCCATATCTGTAAAACAAAAACAAAAACAAAAAAAACAAAAAAAAAAAAAATCCTTTTTTTCCCAGGAACACAAGGCTTTAAAAAAAAATTCTTTCTTTGTTTATGCTCCCCCATAATAAACTTATAAACTCCCCACTTTGTAAACTAAAACTTCCTATACTCCTTCCTAAATTAAAGCTTCTTATATGGTGAAAGTCCCTAAGCAAAGAACAATGCTAGCGAGAACAATCACTAAAACTATTTCAGTGACTGCTTTAAGAGGGTAAATATAGTTCATTCAGTGAATGCTCTCAGTTAGTAGATGGTGCTATGATCTACCCATATCAGTTCACAATATTGTTAATTATTAATCTGTCTGAGCATAAACCACACTGCACTTCTTTGAGATTTACTTACTACCAAACTATCTATTTAAATCATCCATAAATTTCAATATTAACCTTCACATATACAACATTTTTGTTTTACTTGAATAGAGTAAAATGGCTGATTTTTATTTTATCCCTGGAATTTTTTCAAGTTAAATAAATTCACTAAAGTATTATTTAAATAAAATTTAATTTTAGTTTCCACACTTTATACAAGCTTTCCTGACACAAAATCTAGTAGGAAATATAATTAAGGAAAATTTACCATGGTGTTGTTGCTAGGTATAATAAAAGTTTTTTCAGATCTTCACTTCTTAATCTTTCTGGTCGAGTTCGTGCAGGAAATGTGAGAACTGGACATCCTCTGCGGTCTCTACCACCTGAAAAAGAAATTAATGAAAATTTGTTTCAAGCCCATATTCCCACTCAAAAAGTTATTTAAAAACATTGAAGAAAAAGCTCAGAAAATTTTTACTTGTTTACTAGAAAACTTATAAGAGAAAAAAACAGTTTGCCATAACAGAATTCTATATACCAGCTTGATATATTGAAGTTCAAAAAGAAAGGGAAAAGTTTTCTTTTAGCATAAACATTCAGGGATATGTGATAAATCATATTAATTATGTTGTAAATATTTGTAATTAATCATTTAGGTCGTATTTTTATTTTTCTGCAGTGTTGTAGAATTTTGTATTATTTTATTTATTAAAATAGTAATTTCATGGTTTATTTTTGGGTTTAACCTAATTTGGGGACATATGCCTTCAATTTAAGTGTTTATTTGTTGCATAGAATTGTGTATCTTTTAATTCTATTGCATAGAACTGTGTATCTTTTAATTCTGTAGCATGGAATTCTGTATATTTTAATTCTGTTGCATAGAATTGTGTATCTTTGGCAATGGCTTTGGAATTTTAAAAATAGCAGGCAATTGTGCACTTAGGGGCTTTGGTGACATTTAGCATTTCTTGCAAATTTGCCGACTTTCTGGAAGATCTGCATTTTTAAAGCCCTACGACAAATTCTTCCAGAAGTTTCCAGAGCTCAAGCTGCAGGGTATAAATATGGGTCACAGAGCTAGGGAGTTTAGTAGTGAATCAGTTATGAGACTTAGCGGCTAGCTGAACTACGAGTTAGAGTTTATACTGAGAGCGATTTCAGGAACTTTACTATTTATTTCGTATGCTAAAGAGGAATTACTAAATATCTATGTTCTTCTCCAGTTATTTACAGCCCTTATTGTGCTATACGTACTATTTATTTTGCTTATTTTCCTAATAAATAGTTCATTTCTCCCTGCTAATCTGGACTCATTATTTAAGGAAACATCAACAATCCCATAGCTCACAATGATACATATGAAAAAAAAAAAAAGCATCTACAAAAATCCTTACCTAGTCTTTCTTTTCGCACGCATTGCTCTTAGACATATACTTCAAATTTTAAAAATGTTTTAAATAATGCAACTATTCATGTTCTAGCTATTCTGAATTTTTTTAAAATTAATTTTCGAAAAATTATAAAATCCAAGTTTTTATGCGGTCGCCGACACTTAACCGACAACCACTTTGCCGACGGGACACTTAACTAACACCAGTTAGCCGACAGGGACACTTAGAAAACAGGACATTTAGCCGACACGACATTTGGCTACGGGACACTTAACTGTCAAAGCATTTAGTCAACAGGACACTAAGCCGAAAGTGACGTTTAGCTGACACGTACCCAATAATTATTCAAACTTACTATCAATTACAAAATTTTCCCACTTCTCCAAAAGTTCAATATTTAAGTTATTTTTTCACTATCAGTAAAATTCATTTTTCGATTCTTAAAGATCTGATATGTTCTTTTAATTATTGTGTTAATTTAGCATTGTTTGATATTTATCGTGCCGTTTGGTGTATATTGGCCAATTTGAAAAAGCGCTGAAATTTCTCGTCAGGGAATATGAAATAAATTTGGAAAGGAAAAAAAGAATTTTTTTAGCTAAGTACCAGAGTCACTTAATTACATTTTAATATGATCTTCAAAAATCATCTGTAAAACTTCTTCATTTAATCAACTGGGTTCTTTTGAACACTTTCATTAATAATTTTTCTTGTTTACTTAATGACATTAATTTTCCAATCTCGCTTCTCCAAATGCTTTCAAATTTCTAATACCTTTACGTTTCATTACTATTTTACTCATTACATCATGTTACATTCTTTCTCTTACAAAATCGTTTGGCTCCTCCCACTAATGAAATTATTTTCCCTGTCATGAAAAATCTGAATAATGCAATAAAAATTGTTGTTATTCTTGAATTATACCTTTTTATAGAAACATATATTGATGAGAGTTAGTTTAGCAAATATACTTTATTTTGTTACTAAAAACAATTATGAAAGGAGAATTTTTAAGACAAGCAAAGGTATAAATTATTTGAGACCTCTTTAATTTGCAGTTCGTACCACCATTCTTGAGATAGAGATTCTGTAACCTTTTATTGACCATGCCTCTCGCTTAAAATACTTACTTGGGTTAATATTTATTGCACTACATTGGTGTATATTGTTTAATTAAAAGTAAAATTATCTTTAAGGTTTTGTTTTATTCATAACTAAAGCTGCAGAAGGAAAGGGTCACAAACCAAGTCTGCGGCCACCTAACAGAAGTAGGTTTGGTTTACGTAATTATGGCAAAGCCAAAAGGCTATCTGGCCAAAGGGAGGGAAGCCATCGTAGAGGACTTTCTAATGAAAACTGGCTCGTATACATGTTACACATGGGGAAAACCCCGAAAACACCCATGCAGCCTGTCTGTTCGCGGGGTTCGAAATTCGGACCGAACTGAAAGGGTTCATGACTTTAAAGCTTGGCCTCTGCTGAGCCTAACAGATATAGGGTGACCGTTTTACTTAATATATAACCAGTCTCTTCCAATGAAAATTGCCTTTTTAGGCTAGAACTTTATAAATACATTCAGAAAAATGGGCACCAAAAATTTTCTCATTACCATGTAGCTAAACTGAAGACGAGAAAGAGAAGGAATGAAAGAGGGAAAAAATAAAATTAATGAAAAATGAAATGAAAATTTATACATTTTTAACATATATTGCGAAAAGTTATAATTGATAAGAACAACATTAATATAAGATATTATACTAAAAATTGCACATCAAGACTTTCAAAACATACTACATAATATTATGTATTTACATGACTGATCTAGTTAAATCCAGCATCGATGGCACCACATTACGGTGACTTTTCAGGATGTGACGCTTTGCTTCGCCTACTTGGTTTGTGGCTCTTCCTTCTGCAGCTTTAGTTATGCATAAAACAAAACTTTAAAGAATACAGTACAAAGTCCGTAATCCGGACGTCCATTATCCAGAATGATGTATAATCCGGACCTCAAATCCACAAAGCCACATTTACGCATGCGCTTTTAATGCATGCGTCTGCCACGCATGCGCATAAAGCGTTTACACATGTGCACTTCCGATAGTGAAGAAAACGACAAAGAGGTTATTGAAAACGAAAAAATTTCAATTGACAAGTAAGTCGGTATTCTCGACACAGCAATTACAGGACTTGAACAGTGGAACTTTATAACTGAACGAGAAATTATGTCTGTTTATAGAATTAAAGAGAAAATATTAGCACAAAAAACGAAGCAACTTAAACAACTTACATTGAAAGAAATGTTAAATAAAGAAAACAAATAAATATTAAGCCTTTTTTTTTTTTTTTTTTGTAAATTTTGATACCCTTTAGATCATAAATTACAGTTTCATATTTTTAATTGTATAATTTCTGCATGCCATCTTACCAGATTTAAATTGATGATCTAAAATCCGGAGAAACCTTTAATGCAGAATCGCCGAAATCCCTACGAGTCTGGATTGCGGACTTTGTACTGTATTTTACTTCTAAATTAAACATTAAGCACCAATTTAGTGCTGTAAACAATAACTTTAGTAAGTATTTTAAGCGAGAGGCGTGGTCGATAAAAGGTTACGGAATTTCTATCTCAAGAATGGTGGCACGAACAGCAAATTATAGAGGTCACAAAAATTTACACCATGTGCTTGTCTTAAAAATTTAACTTTTTAAAATTGTTTTTAATAACGAAATAAAATATATTTGCTAAACTAACCCTTACCACCATATGTTTCTATAAAAAGTATAATTAAATAATTTTTATTGCATTATTCAGATTTTTCATGACAGGGAAAGGAAATTTCATTAGTGGGAGAAGCCAAACGCTTTTGTAAGGTAAAGAATGTAACATGATGTTATGAGTAAAATAGTAATGAAACGTAAAGGTATTAGAAATTTGAAAGCATTTGGAAGAGCGAGATTGAAAAATTAATGTCATTAAGTAAACAAGAAAAATTATTAATGATGTGAAAGTGTTCAAAAGAACCCAGTTGATTAAACGAATAAGCTTAACGTATAATTTTTAAGATTATATTAAAATGTAATTAAGTGACCACCGTACTTAACTAACAAAATTTCTTTTTCCTTTCAAAATTTAATTCATATTCCCTGATGAGAAATTTCAGCGCTTTTTCAATTTGGCCAATATACACCAAACAGCACGATACATATCAAATCATGAATGCAACAAATCAAAACAATGTTAAATTGCACAACAATTAAAAGCACATACGAGACCTTTAAGAACTGAAAAATGAATTTTACTGATAGATGAAAAAATAACTTTAAATATTAAACTTATGGATAAGTTTAGAAATTTTGTAATTGATAGTAAGTTTAAATAATTATTGGGTACGTGTCAGATAAACGTCACTGTTGGCTTAGTGTCCTGTTGACTAAATGTCTTGACAGTTAAGTGTCCCAAAGCTGAATGTCCTGACGGTAACTCTTTGTGTCTGTCTTCTAACTGTTCGTGTCCGCTAAATGTCCTGTCGGCTAACTGTCCATGTCGGTTAAATGGCCTTTCGGCTAAGTGTCCTTGTTGGTTAGAGGTCCTGTCCACTAACTGTTCGTGTTGGCTAAGTGCCCTTGTCAGCTAAATGACCTGTCGGCTAAGTGTCCATGTCGGCTAAGTGTCCGTGTCGGCTAACTGGTTTTGGTTAAGTGTCCCGGACCTGTTTTTATGCTGTCTCCTGGTCCCAATACAGTGCCTGCTGCTTATTAAATTCACTGTTTAATAAACTCGGGCACTTATTATTTTCAAATTTCCGGGAACGAAAAAAAAAAAAGGTCAGCATAAAATCTGCCATTTGGCACCTGCTATGGCCTGATGGCTGAACATGTTTCAGCCCGAGGAACCGCAACAACAAGAACAAAAAATCTACCATTTATAACAACATCTCAGCCACTTGTAAAACTCAGATTGTTAAAAGACTGATTCTTCATTGCCA